TTTCAAGAATATTAAAGAATTTTTTGGTTTTAAGGTCTGGATCAAAACGGTTTTATTACCCTGTTTTCCTATTAAATTATTATTATTACTGTTTTCATATTAAATTTCAAATAAAATTTAGGTACAGTATATAAACAATAAACAGACAGGGTATGAACAAATTCGATGCATATAAAATTATTTTCAGCTTATGTTTATTTTAATTGTTAGCTAATAAATTTTTTTGAAGCTAATTGTCTTTTTTTTATATATACTTTATATTTTTTACATGGTAAATATTTAGCTATCGTAATATGTGTTCCAACGTGCTGTATTTAGTGGTGCTAATAGTGGTAGTACTAGCATATCTTTTGGTAGTTGAAGTGACAAAGACTTAGGTTGAGATAATGGCGGTTCAAATGTATTAACAGTTTTTAACTTTGACTAATGAATTTTATTGTTGTTTAATAGAAATAAGCCGGTATTTTAAAATCCAGATACTATATACATTATTATTATTATTATTGTTATTATTATAATTATTATTGTTATTATTGTTATTATTATTATTATTATTATTATTATTATTGCTATTATCAATGTTATTGCTATTATCATTTCCTTTATAAATAAATATAATATTTAGGTATTTGTAAAAATTTACTAAAAACCACAAATAATTTTATTAATCGAGTTGATTTAGGGTATAGAAGTTGGAGCCTACAGTGTTCCTGAGATCTTGCAAAATAGATATAGCATAAAAAATGCTTCAACTAAGGTTTTGATGTAATAACACCATTTTTAAGTCAACTTGACTTAAAAATGGGTGTTTATTACAAAAAAATGCTACACGTTTCTCTATGGTCAAACGTTTCATTAAGGGGCTACCCCCCTCTGTTTTTAAATCTAAGTATTAAAAAAAAAAAATGTTATGGGTTTCTAGGTTTTAGTAAAATATAAACCTTCTTAAAAAAAAATTTTTTTTAAATTGGTGGTTTCCTTGGTAACCAAAAAATACCCCTAAAATGACCAAAAAATAACTTCACGCTGGCCAAAATATAAGAATATGTGTACATATTTACCTTTTAAAATTTTAATACAATATTATCATATATTAGGGCTGTGAAATGAATGGATCAGATTTTTCATAACATTTTGCCATCATCAAAATGGCGCAATCAAAGATCATGTTCAAAATTTTCATCGATTTTAGGTCATATATATATATATTTTTAATAAAATAAATAAATTCCAATCCATTCATTTCACAGAGTATAATATGATAAACACTTCCTGAAAATTTCATACAAAAATGTAATACGGTTCTCCAGATAATTTGGCCGGCGTGCACAAATTTCTATTTTGAGAAAAACAATACAATTTTTTTCACAAAAACTGTTAAAAATAAACAAAGTTTTCAAAATCCACCAGAAACATACAAGTCATTTTCTTTTTCAATTATTTTCTCATTCTTCTTCAGTTTCTTGGCACATAATACTTGCCTTCTTAACTTTTTAACAGGGTTCATTCTAATTTCTGCTTTTTGTAATATTTCATTATTTATTGATTTGCATCCTGCAATCATATGAAAGCCTGGTTCCATGTCCAGTTGCTTCAAAATATCAATAGATGCTTTTGCTCCAATATTAAAATTGGCAACAGCATCATATACACCAATTGTTAATTGGGTAAGTGATACAAATGTTTGTTTTGGTATACGCTTCTAAATCATTCCATAAAAAGACTCATTGGCATTTTGTGTCTTACCGTGCAAACATTTTTGTAACTCAATGTCTTTCCTTAAATCCTCAAATATAGTTCTTACTTTCATTATGACATCCATTGGTAAACCTGGTTCCGGCTTATAGGTTGATGTCTTATTTATTTTATCGGCATTGTATTTGCACCAGCTGTCTGCACCAGTGAGGCAGTGTGGGAAATGTAAGCTATTATTTTTTGAGGAAGCAACATGAAATAAAGATGCCAACACCAGTTGGATCAGATTTTTGGAGACTTTGAGTTAAATTACAACCTTTACAATATCTGGAGATGATTTCAACATTTAAAATTTTGCCACTAGCAGTAGAGATGGCAGAAAAGACTCCGTTGAGTGATGACTATCCTTGTTTTTGCCATGTTCCATCGCAAGATAAATAAATATCGGTTACTTTCAAAGCTGTATTTTGCAATTTTTTAGCAGCATTTAACATTGTTCGTTCTGCTACACTTTTAACAGCTTTTGAAATTACTTTTATCAGTTTTTCAAAATTGTTTTTGGTCATTGGCTTAGGTAGATTCATAATGGCACAAAATTTTTTGATGCCTGCATATCCACGACCCAATAATCGTATACAATAAATTACTTGTTTATTGATATCAAATCCTTTTATATTTGTCATAGTTAGAAGTGTAGAACTTTTGAAAATGGTTACAAGCTCTTTTCTTACACTTAAGATATAGTAAGGAAGATAAACCACGTCGTTGAGTATATCTCTCACTTAGTGAGATTGTTGAACAACCACACTCTGGACACAAAACAGAACTTAAAATAGACATTAAAACAGCAACATAAATTATACGATAACCAGATATGGCAGGTTTTGAAATAATTTTATCTTTTAAGTTTTCGATTTTATGAGCTGAAGCTGATAAATTAGGTGGATTTTCAAAAATTGGTTCAGTAACACAAGTGATGTTAGGGGCACTTGGATTTATTGTCGGCAATTCGATATTAGTACTATCAGATACAATAACAGTATTAACAGAATTTTGAACATTTCCCATAAACCTTTTCCTTTTTTTATGAGTTTGTGTACATTTCTTAACTCGACAAGCTTTTCCCATTTTTACTAGTTAAACTAACCTAATAAAATCTCAAGAACTGACTGAACTGAAGAATATTGTCGTACTTGATGTACCAAGGTATTGGTAAATTCTAGAAAAACGCATCAAGAAGTTGTTCAAGCTTATGCATTGCAAGTGTAACACTATTTTGGGTAAAAGTATGGTGTATAAAATTGTTTAAGTGCGTTGCTATGGCGTTGCTAAGGAAATTACTTAAGAGTTGGTTAACTTAAATAGACAATTTAAGATAGTTAAAGATTAATCTGATACATCCAAAACAAATTTTATGATTCTGCATAGTTTGAAAGAGTTAAAATTAAAAAAAATAAAAATTGAAAATTTTGAAATTTTATGGGGGGATAGCCCCTTAATTGAGAGCTAGGCATGACTCAGGTGTTAGTAAGAAGTTATTTTCATTCGTATAAACTTCTACGACTAAACAAAGAATACCGGTTATTAGATTTGTTTAATTGAATAACTAATTGATTAAAATAAAAACAAAAATTATTACTTCGATTTTTTTTTAATAGTCGGAACTTTAGCAAACCACTACTTTTCTATTCATTTGGATGTAGATGTTGCGTATACGGCATCGTCTGGACGACTTAAGCAGCAACTTAAATTCAAATTTAAGTTGCTGCTCATGCTTTGGCTACAGTGTTATCAAAACACTTTTAAGAAAATAGAAGTAGAGTCGTACATACGTTAATACCGTCATCAGACATTAAATAAAACTGTAGCTTTACTTTATGTTTAATAGCCCAGCGGGCATTTGTTTTAAAAAATTACGTTCTAAATGTATTTTAAATGTCTTTTAAACGTTATCTAAACATTCTTCTGTAAAGAACGTTTAAAAGACGTTTAAAAAACGCTTAAAAGACATTTAGAACGTAACTTTTAAAAACAAATGTCCGTAGGGAGAGATCTGAACAAATCAGACTGAAATATTACTAATACATTAGTTGGTTGCTACGTAGTTGTGCTTTATGTTTTATATCCTGTTAAAAATTCAAGCATAACATGAAATGTGACTGAAATAAGAAAAATGCCAGTTTAACATTAACTTTTTTGTGGCTTTAACATCAAAAAACTTGCGAGTTCTTCATGAAATTAAAGTAATTATAAATTATTTGATATCACTGCTGTAAAAATACAACTTTTGATGCGTGAAATAAAAAACCTTTGAAGTGAATCAGTTTTAGTCGTAAATTCTTTAAGATATTAACATAAAAATTAAAAACAAAAAAGAAAAAAAATATATAAAATTTTTGTTTTAAAGTGTTATTTGATACGATAAAAATAAAATTAGTTTTTAACTACTTACAGTAATATATACAAGAAATATATAAATGCAGGAAATTGACGGTGCAATATAAAGCTTATGTAAAATCTATTATTTTATAGGGTATTTACGTTAGATCTTTTTGTGGTATATTTGTCTGCGCAAGTAAAACAACAAAGTATTTATACAGGTTGGATAATCCTACCTGTAAAGTTCTATCTAAAAATGAAGATCTTTTATAACGCTAAATTTTTAATATTTAGTGTAAGCATAAGAATAATTAGCTAAACAAAATTTTGTAGACTTAATATGAAATAATTTGTATTTTTATTTTGAAAGTCTTTTTAAATTCATTCATTATTTCTCTTTTTTTTAATTTTTATTTAGTTTGCAACTTTTAATAGAAAAGATGTGCTTTTCTTTGAAGATATTTTATACCTCAATTTTGTTATTTAAAGCACCACGAAAAGAAAAGGCAATATATAAATTTTAGAATGTATAATAGTTTTATTAAATGTTTTATAAAGTAGTTACAGTAACTCTACGCAAATATTGACGTGATAGAATTATGACACTAATCTTCTTTGAGTCCATTTTTGTTTATTTTGCGAAACAAAATGGAAATCAATATAAATTGAATTTATTTTAGCTATAAAATATTTTTTTTTTTTAGTTTTATTGAATCAAATTCTTTGTAAAGTTTATTAAATAACCAAAAAATAATGACGTCTCTTCAAAATTTCAATTTTAAGTGAGTGAGTTTAAAGGAAATTTGAGCGGCCATTATATGTTACGCGCATGTTAAAATTTGAACTTAATTAACAAATTTAAAATGTAATTTGACGTCAAATTAACTATGAGTTTGTAAAAAATTTAATTTTAAAAAATAGTTTATTAAAAATGGGAATCAAATCATCTAAAAACTCGAAAAAAGATATTTATCGTTTAAAGATTCATAACTTAAAGAACCAGTTGAGTTTGTTAGAAAAAGCTGTAAACAATTATAAAAACGAGGCTTCACTAGCTTCTGAATCTCATAAGTCAGAACTAATTTCGGCTTTAAACATAATTAACGATCAAGTATGTCAATTTCTAATGGTGCTAAATACATTATTGAGTTAATAAATATTTAAATAATGTTTTATAAAATATAGAACAAAAACTTTATAACAATTAGATCAAAGTGTTTAAAGCAATTTTATAATATATTTTGATATATAACTTATTAATATTTTTTTATATTCATTGTTTTTATGTTATTTACATATTAACATGATCTGTTTTTAGGAAAAAAGACTTTTATCAATTGAGAGAGAATATCAAACAATAAAGTTTTGTTCTAAAGAGTTAGAAGAAATAAAAATGGAGTTAAACATAATCGCAAATGAACATAAACAAACAAGCCATAATCTTCCATTGCTTGTTAAGCAAGTTGGGGACAAAGAGATAAAATCTTGGAATGACAGTGTTCTTGAATTAAAAGCAAGGAAATTTCAATTTTCAGATATACTTATTTAGGTTTTTTATTATGTGTATATGGTTTGGGTTGAATTAGACACAGTTATAGACCTTCTTTAATCCAATCCAATATAAAAGTTTTTTAAGCTTGCGTATAGAATAAGTCAGTAATTTGACATGAAAAATTATAACTGATCTAAATATTATACATATGAAAAATTATAACTGATCTAAATGTTATACATATTTAAAAATAAAAGTTACATCAAAATGTATTAAGATTTTTTAGCTTTTTTTTTTTTAATAATCATTTAATAGCTAATAACTCACTAAACCATTTTACGCGCTAAATCATTTAACAGCTAACTAAATGTTATATCGTATAAAATTTCAAAGTTCATTGAATAAAGCTGCATAAAACTTATTAAAAGATTTCTTTTTGAAAATAACGTTGCCGTGAATATTGAACAACTTCTAATAAATTATTTTAAAATAGTGATTTATTTGTATACAACTTTTAATATTAGTGAAACAAGTGTTAAACAACAGTTAACCAATGTGTTAACCAACAAAAGTCTTAACCAAAGTTTCTAAAATTTTTAAAATAACATTTGGGTAGTTTTTAATGGCGATTAATACAATCAAAATTAAAAGGAAGATATTTAAAAAGCCTCACAAAAGGAAAAAATGTTTTCAAATTAGGTTGATGCTATGTATCACATTTGCATTTACAGGCGAAGAATGATTCAGTCTCCTACTGGTTGCTGAAATAATGATTGGTCATTATTCATGAGATTAGTGTTTGGTTTTTGATTTTTTTAAATCTAAATAGGTGTTTTAACCTAGAAATAGTTATTAAATAATCTGATGGAATGACATCCGTGCCCAGCTTTTTTACTATACTGAATAAAAGTGTTTGTTATAAAACTTATATCAGTACACTACTATCCTACTTTACTATCCTATCAAAAAGATTATGTTTTAGTGTAGTAAAGAAAAACCTACAATTTTTTTTCTTATTTAGTAAAAAACTGTCTAAAAATCTTTTTTTTAAGGAACGTTACGAATCCGCCAAACAGTATACTATGGAACTTGTTTCGATGGAACTGGCCCATGAAAGAGAACTTCAGGATTTACAAAGACGAATACGGCGTTTAGAAAACGTTGAATCAACTTCTGAAGTTAAAAAAAATGAAAGTTTTATTGAATATTACAAATTGATCGGCGAAAACGTTGATCTTAACAACGTCAACGAGCAAGCTTCAAAATATGATAAAAAGTTTTTAAAACTTGATGCTGCAATTAAAAAGTTAAAAGACGATTTGATACTTTCTAATTTTAACAAAAAACTTTAATTCTAGAACAATATGTTATACGTCACGAGTTGCAAAAAAGTAAACACTTGTTTTTAAAGTTTCATTTTTTTTTTTTTTTTTATCGCGTTTAGCTTTATCTTTAATTTTTTGATACATTATTTAATTATTTTTATTTGAATTAATTTTTATACTGCAAACGATATATTCCTTAGAACAGTTGTCGTACTGTTCGATTGATGATGCATGCATCCTGCAGGTTTGTCTTCTTTTTGAACACTAAAAATTAATTAGTAGTTATAACATTTGTTTTATTATTGTTTAAAAAAATGATACTTAATTTAATTATTAAATAAAATTTTATATTACAAAGAGTTGCGCGTAATATATAAGCCAAAATGGTTATTGCAACTTACACATTCAAAACCCGCCTTGACGCAAGATTTTCCAATAACATCAAACCAATCAAAGTTTTCATTACATTCCTCGAAATCGCATAAGCACTATAAAACGGAAATATAAAATATTTACATATTTTTTTAAACACACAAAACAAACAAACAAAAAAATGTTGTAGATGAATAACTCATTAACTCTCCTATGTAATTTGAGGCACATTAGGAGCCCATTTGCAAAACGCGTTAGTCCGAGTAAATTAATTTTCGAGAAAACGAATTACTAATAGTTGCGCATCCGCAGAAATTAATACTTTCTTTGTCTACTTTTAGGAGAAAAACTCTTTTAATTGGTCTAATATTTATATATATGATAGATTTCAGTATATAGAATCTGGAAATGGAATTAAGTCAAAATTTCTATTTATGTGATGCGTTTTACAGATGAGCTCCACGTTTTTGATCATCATTTTAGATCGTGTTTGTAAAATCCTTCAAATATTTTACAAATATTACAGGCAGTGTTTTTATGCATATTTATGAGTAAAAGTATATAATCATATTTAAATGTGATTACATATATATTATATATATATATATATTTTTATGATTAATGTATGATAAAAATTTATCATGAGAGCAAACTTGTTAATGCTTATGTTAATGTTAATTCTTTTTTGAAAAGGAACTTTTAAAACAAAAAAAAAACAACTTGTTAAGTAAATGCAAGCAACAAAAGTATATTCATATTAAGTTTTGTGATGAGCAATAGACTCAGACTCATTTCAAAACTAGATGACAAAATAAAGAGCTTTTAAAAGCACTCGTTTAATAAAAAGGAAATTTTTAGTTATTTTTTAATAATAAATTTTTTTGTAAACTTCCTTTCGTGCATTACTACTTATTTATCTTTAGATATATTTAAAGTTTATTTATTGTTTTAGGAGTTTCTTTGAGGTTTTTTGGTTTTTAGAGATTCTAATAATCTTCAAATAGCGCTATAAACGTTGCATTCACGGCTTCTAATATTTCTAACTAATTTTGTTTAAATTTTTTAGGTTCTAGAGTAGGCTTTATTAATTTAGCTATTAATAAAATGTGAACAGAAAGTTAACAATGGTAGTTCTGAAAACGCAATTTACAATTAATATGCACCCCCTGTGATATCTAAATAATACGGTAAATAAATGCGGCTCATGTTATTTTAGATAGAAGGAACAACAGTTGTAAACATTCAATTTCAAAACCGAATTTAAGTCAGATTTGAGCGTGCATAAAGAAATTTAATACAATTTTTATTAGAATTAAGCGTTGTATAAAACCGTTTTATATTTTTTTATCAGAAAACATTGAAATGTTTAAGTAGTGAGCGTTATTAATCTTATATATGAATATATAATGTTATATATATATATATATATATATATATATATATATATATATATATATATATATATATATATATATACATATATATATATATATATATATATATATATATATATATATATATATATATATATATATATATATATATATGTATATATATATATATATATATATATATATATATATATATATATACATATATATATATATATATATATATATATATATATATGTATATATATATGTATATATATATATATATATATATATATATATATATATATATATATATATATATATATATATATATATATATATATATATATATAATTATTAATGTTATATATAAATGTCTAAGGGTATTTCCAAAATCGTTTTTCACATGAGTTCTTGGAGTTCTCTCAAATAGGTATGCTTTTTAAAAATAAATTTCCCAAAATGTATCCTCGAAACTAAATCTCTTTTTGACCTGTTGTTTGTAATATTATTTATACTATATAAAATACTTATGGTTAATAATTTCTCAGTTCACTTGTAGCATGCCAATCGTTTATTAAAACTATTATTATTCAAAAAAAAAAGAAGTTTCGTGTTTTTTCAAAAAAACTTATTTCTCCACAATTAGGTCGGTGATATCTACCTTTCAGCGCAATTTTCAGCAATATTTACCATATCACATAAGAATAAACATACAAAAATTTAGAGTTTTGAACTCACCATCAGATTTCTTGGCTCAAATACTAAAAAGTCCTGGATCCGACCCTGATTATTCTTATTATTAAGTTTTAAACCTATATAATATTAGTTTTAAATATATAAAATATAATATATTAGTTTTAAATTAAAATAATTAATTTGATTCAAAATCTGCATATAACTAATGCTTACACTAGGTTATCTCAAAAAAAACTGTTCTATTAAAAAAGTTAAGGGCGAAAGTAAAAATTAGAAATTTTATTATTATTTGCTAGTTATTAATCTATCATAATAATAAAAAATGTAGTGAAAAGCATCCTTTTTTTAAGCTTTGTAAAAGCCAACATTTAGCGGAAAGATGTATTTCCTTATTGCGCCTCAGTTATGCACTACACAGTATTTTCACTAACGGGCAAGTTTTTTTTGGTCTTTTTTATTTGTATATTGTCAGGGGGTTTTGTCAGTTAAGTTGAATTTAAGTTTACTTTTTAGATTAAAGAGTCATTTCATGTTCGAGTAGCATACTTATTTCATTTTAGAGCAGCATACTAATTTCGCATAAATTAGCATACTAATTTTGCATTAATTACAAATTTTTTAAAAAAAAGTAAAAGATCAGTTTTTGATAAAGTCTCGAAAAGTCTTGCTTTTGACATTGCCAACTAAAGGTTGCGTTTTCAAAAACAAGGTTATTTAACAGTTTGTTTTTTAAAGTTGATAAATATTGGTTTTGAGGTGTTTTATTTAACAAGTATTACTCAAACAATGTTGTATTTACAAATCATATTTTATAAACGATTATTTTAAACTATTAAACATAATGTTTTACTAAAACTTTTATCAAGTGTTTTTGTTACTGAAAATTCAGTTTTGATCATTTAAAACAAATTTTTTATTTTAATATAAACACGTTCAGCAATTATTTAAAATTGAAATTGAAAACATTCAGCGGTTATTTTAAGTTAACCTACACAACCACCTTAGTTAGCAAGGATTGTATTTTCTCACCATGGTGATTGCCGACCATGATGGCAAGAGTCTATTTTTTCCATAATAGATTGTGTATTATTATTCGAAAAAGTTGTTTGTTTGATTTTTTCACTTTGTTTTTATGACTATTTTATAGTTTAGACTAAAATTCATTTAAAGGTATATTTACTAAAAAAAAAACTATACTCTGTAAATTTATTTATAATCTGTTCAATAAAGTTTATTTAAAAAAATCTAAACTTAGTTACAAAGTAATTTACTACCTTTGTAGAAAAAGCATTCAAATCTTGGTCATCGTGTTCTAAATAAAGAGAAAACTTTTAAATCTAATTTTTGTCCATTTTTATTTATAAAAAACATTATTATTTTATTAACTTTCAACTTGCGTGGAATTGCATGGAATCTTTGTTGCAGTGCATCCAACAATTGCTAAAATCCCGAGAAAAGAAACGTATTTGATGAGATCCATTTTAATTTAAAATTTGAAATTTGTTATTCAATACCAAAAAAAGTTTTTATGCATTTATCTGTTTATTCAGCAAAGTAAAACAATACAAAGAGTGTGCTCAGTTGCTACCTGTGTACTTATTTTTTAATGTTTTTTTTTTTGTTTTTGTTTTTTACTTTTTAGCTACGCTGCTGAGTATTATTATGTGTAACTAATAGTATGTAAATTAGTTTGTGTTACACATACTACAGCTAACTGTAATTTATTATTATTTTGAGATTACTTTACTAGGTTACCTAGAAAAGATAATTGGGGTCATTGTTCGGTTCTTAGAAAATTTCACATCCATATTTGAACTATCACATAATTTCTGCTGACGCTGCTTTTTTCTATCTTTTACTCCTTTCATTCAGCTTCTGAGAACAAACTTCATATTTAATTACTTGAATTAAGTGGTCCTCTTTTAATCATGTCATGATGGGTTGTTAATCATGTCATGATGGATTTTAATCATGTCATGATGGGTTTTAATCATGTCATGATGGGTTTTAATCATGTCATGATGGGTTTTAATCATGTCATGATGGGTTTTAATCATGTCATGATGGGTTTTAATCATGTCATGATGGGTTGTTAATCATGTCATGATGGGTTTTAATCATGTCATGATGGGTTTTAATCATGTCATGATGGGTTTTAATCATGTCATGATGGGTTTTAATCATGTCATGATGGGTTTTAATCATGTCATGATGGGTTTATGAAGAACTCTTACTCTAACTGCTAACCCGACCATCAATGTCAGCCATTGTATTATTAATTAGTTTTTTCGACAACCAATTTGCATTACTCTGCGTTCTTCAAAGTTAAAATTCAAAAAACAGTTGTGCAACATGCTGACAAAATCCACTTGTAGTTTTTCATATTCAGAGAAAAATTGATTGACATCAATAACTTTTATAATCTTACCACCATCGACGTATAATTTTGTATAGTTTTAAAAAGCATTGTGGTAAGTCATTGATGAAGAACACATAGCAGTAATGCAAAAACTGATCCTTGAGGGATGTCACTTGTTACCTTAATCCACTCGAATGTCTATTAGCTAACCAACCTGTGATCGAGTTAATTAGCTGGTCTCAAATACCATAGGCTTAAATCTTATGAAGACGTCTTATGAAAGATCGTATGATAGATAAATATATTATACAGTTATTATAAATACGTACGATTGGAGCTCGGTGATAAGACAAAATAATGTCTTTTACTTGCCCCGCCAGTGTTTTTATTTATAAACTTTTAAATTGTAAAAGTTATTAAACAACGAAACAAACAAAAAAAAGCTAAACTAAGTTGTTGTATGACAATGTGTTGAGTGCTTTGGCAAAGTCGGTAAAAAAAATTTTAACTAGGCGTCTACGGTAAACTGCTTCCGTTAAAATGTTATGAGATTCAATCAAGTTTGTAAGGCAGCCTTTGTGAATTTATATTCATCAATAAATTTTAAAGTTTATAAAAAAATCTCTTGACGTTCAAAAATTATGGCCTTATAATAAATTTAAATTTGTAACCCCCTCAAAATGAGGGGAGTTCAAACTTTATATGGCCGTAATTTTAGAACGTTAAGAAAGTTAGAGGAATGCTATAGAACGCGAGAAACCAGCTCAACAACGCATTAAGTTTTAGAATGGCTTTAGCCTAATTTTCAACTAGTGACATCAAACAAAGTTTACTTGTATCTATTTTAAAAATACTTTGAATAATTGAGATATTTTTTTACATCACTGTATTGTTTTTCGAAAAAAAGTTACTTAAATAAAGAGATAATTATATTTAACTTAAATATTTTAAATTTACTCAAGCGCATATACCGAAATTTGTAACTGCGTTTTTGGAGTTCCTCATCTTTTTTTACTGGAGCTGTTTTAAGACCTGTAAATAAAAAAAAGGCTAAATTGAAATAAATAGGTTAATAAAGATTTTCTAAAATGAAATACATTGAAGCATTGAAGATGTTAAGTCACGTGTTATAAAGTGCATTTAACTTAGTCTGAAATTTTAAATATAAATACGTATTATTTTGTTAATTTCTATTACATTAATAAAACTATTTAGAAATTAACAAAGAAATATAATAAAACTGTGAATTTAATTTTTTTTTTTTTTATCTTTTATATTTATTTTCAAGTTTTGTTTATTACGCTAGCATGTTTCCTAAATACCGTCTACAAAAAAGTTTAATACGCTAGCATGTTTCCTAAATACCGTCTACAAAAAAGTTTAATACGCTAGCATGTTTCCTAAATACCGTCTACAAAAAAGTTTAATACGCTAGCATGTTTCCTAAATACCGTCTACAAAAAAGTGTTACACTGCCAAATGTTTCAGTTGGAAACAAATAACGTCAAAAGTTGGTTTCTTTTTAGAAAACGAGTAAATAAAAATGATAAATTTATCTGTGTAGATATTTCTCCAAATTTCAGTAAAGATTTAGTTTTTACAATATTTTGAAAGATTGAAAATAGATTTCAATGCAATGTTTTTGTATTTTTTTTTTGCTTTTACATTATTAGGCCATTAATATTGCAGAGGTCTAAACCGTACGTAGCCATCACTAGGTATAGCTGATCATTAATACGATTGGTTAATGAAATCTTAGTACAAATTTATTTCCTGATTAAATAAGAGATTGAAAACAGCTTTAAAATTAAGTATTATAAGTGTTTAAACAATTTAGTTCAAAAGTATTTATTATCTCATATCATTATTAAACTTGTTCATCATCTGATGCAAACCCCTGGAATTTAAGTTGACCATGAAAATTTGCAGAAAGATTAATATTTATCATTAAAAAATAAAGAGTTTCTATTTATCGTGTAAGAAAGGTTTATAATTATCTTAGAGTTTTGTGTTTGCTTTTATTTTACATAAAAAAAGGAACTCGGTTTTTGAGAATTCATTTTTATACGATTTATAATTGTTATACACAGTTATTAATGACCTGATAGCTTATTTTCAAGACCTGATAGGTTATTTTAAACGCCTGATTCTAAGAACTATAATATCCACTGCATACGCTAGTATGCGTTACTTCTCCGTTGAAATTACCATATATTGCTGAACCTTCAATATTTTTATTTTTAATGGTCTCAAAAATGTTTTGGGTAAAAGTTTAATAAATATAAAGGTTGATTTTATTACTTAGACAGAAAGAGTGTTAGATAAATCAAAACTGGAAAAAAACAATTTTATTTTATATTTTATGTAATAATTATGTAACACATAACTTTTTTTTTTATCTGGTATTTAAAGTGCTCTGATAAGTCCTTACAATCACAGAGCACTGCCGAAGAGCATTAAACGTCGTGAACTAGGAAATTCATGCCTTCTTCCTCAGAAATCTTGTTTTAACTACTATGCCACACCTGCAACAAATAAATTTATTACTTTGATCGATATCTAAAAAATGCTTCATCAATAATTTATTAGCCATTCTTCATTATTGATTAGACTTTTTTTTGGATTTATATACATCAGGGTTTATATATTTGGTTATATTAGTTTGTTAATTTCAAAATAAAAAGGAAAATTTATATTTTTTAATTAAAAAAAAATCAAAATAAGTAAACTTCTGTTTTTAACTTAAAAACATTTTAGATCATAAGCAATGAAGACAGTAACGTTAACAATCAAGTACAGTAAAGTAAACAATCAACCCAGCCAACATTGACATACGGGTACCGTACGGGGCCCATGTGGATCCTCAACTGGGTCTCGTATGGGAAGACCGACGATATCCCGCCGGTCTTGGCCGCGGTTTCCATATGGGCCCTAAATGGGTATGCTCGCCTGGTATCCCGTATGGGTCCCAGTCAAATCCCGTACTTTAAAACCATAAGGCCCATTTGAGTTTGCAACTGGGACCCATATGGGAAATTCATTGGGAACCCGCCGGATCTTGGCCGCGGTTTTCCTCTGGGGCCCATATGGATATGACGGCCGGGTATTCCGTTATTGGGTATTGTAATAACTTTCATTTTTGACTATCTTTTTTAAGTGAAGTTTTTTTTGGACCCTGCTGTTTTTTTCCCGGTAAAACGACTGTATTCGTTTTTTTATTAATTCATAAACTAATAAATTAATAAAAAAAATTATTACTTTTTTAAAGTAACTTAATAAAACAGTTCTATCTTCTCTTTTAACAATTTCGAAGCAATTCAACCTTTTACAGTTACATTCAAGCATTGTTTTATGAGATGCTAGCCTTTTTTTAAATACTTTTGCGCAATCTTTTTTTGTTTTTTCTTTTTTTGGATTTTTTTGTTACTTGTTCTAATGTTTCAAACGTCGCCATTTTTAGTAATAAACATTAATCGAATCATCTGCCAGTATTATGAAAAAATGGGACTTGCAGCTTTCAATCTAAGTTCTGATAATACAGAGTAGTGTTTGATTTATGTCTTTTAGTAAGTTTTGATTGTTTAAAAACTTGTTTTTTCGGGAAGGTAACTATTTGTATATTAAAGATGAGAGGCATATTTCCATACATAAAATCAATTATTTGATTCAAAATAAAATACAAAATATGGTTCTGTAGTTTATAAAGCTAGAAAATCAAAAAAGTCAAATTTTTCAAAATGTGACCCTGCCGTTTCTTCCCGTGGAGTCTTCATATGATAACATCAAGATTAATTTTATACTTAATATTTTCATAGATAAAACCATCTTTTGGAACTTTGAACTCTAACAAAAAATTATTTAGATAATCAAAAATGGAATTAGGTTTTCGGGCACCACTTTTTAATCAAATTTTTTAAAATCCGAAAGTTGCGAGTCCTAGGCCTAGGCTATGACAGTAACATTTATAAACAGCCATAACTTTTGGCTAATTTTAGTTAAAAATTTTTGACATATATGTTTAAATTTTGTCACTATTTTAGATTTTCATTGAATAACTTCCTACATGTTTTTTTAATATAAAATATATAGAGAGCATTATTCTCTTTTACTATCAGCTATCAAGCTGATTAAACTGACTTGATCAGCTTCAGCGTTAATTTGTAGCTAATGAGTTTAAAGCTGAAGCTGAAATATCAGCTGCAACCCCTACTTTATAGACAACATAGATAATGTGACGTATATACTTTATGATAATACATGTGTTTTTTTTATACTTGAACACTAATTTTTTTTATTTTTAATACATGTTTTTTTTTTAAACGTGTTTTTTATATTTAACACTTAAGAAAAATTGACTTTTGCCCAATATTTTTTAGATAAAAATAATATTTTCTTCCAAGTTCATGGAAGTCTACGGAGGCGATTCTTCAAATAAAATGAGGGGGGGGGGGATAAATCCTTGAAAAGTACCGACTGGGTTCTTAATAAAAAACAAAATAATAAATGGTCCTCAAAACTAAAATTTACGCAACTGAATTGTGTCAAATAACCAACTAGCCGACTAAATTCGTAAAAAAACGACTATAACTTGAAAATCAACTTCTTCGGGGGGTGTAACATCCCCCACACCCCTTCCCTGCCCCCTGTAAAATTGCCTCTGCAAGTCTCTCATACATAAGTCTCTCACTTTTTCTAATAAATAAAAGTTATTACCATTATTATTATAATTATATTTAATAACCTGTCATTACTAATATTTATTAAAAATGCATTCTGGTTGTTGAAGTCAATAGTGTTTTGGGAAACTATATTTAGGATTGTAAAATATGCAAAAGTATTACTTCATAGATTTGAGGCTTTATTTTATTCGATCATCAAAAACATTAATATTCCTAAAATGGAACCCTGTGAATCTTAACAAAGTATATATTCAAAGTATTTTTTTTGAAAGCCATCAATACAAAAAACATCTTTTTTGTTCGTTTGTTTTTTTGATTGGTAAGGTTGAAATGTTTTTATGACGCAAACTATAAGTAATAAATATTGTTTATAAAATGTCATGATAAAAAATAAATATGTCAAAAGGAAGTTTTTAACGGAAGTGATAATTGATTGAACAGAGATTGGGAAATATCTACATATGTTCTGTTACCTTCTTTTAATACCGTAGAAATTATAAGAGTTTTTAGTGCGGCTTTTCATTTTTCAGTTCATTCTTTCAGTCATTCATTAGAGCATGCCGATGTGAAATGTACCGAAAGTGTTTTGTGTCGAAAGTTCTTAACTTAATAAAAAAACATCGCTCTCGTTCTTCATTAACATTAAATAAAAAATGTTGTTTAAAATAAGTTTGTTTTCAGTTCTATTTACTTCGTTATTAGTTGTAAATTACACAAAAATACAAGATGAAGCCGAACGATTTTTTACTATTGATGAAAATGGCAACCTTTTAGAAGCAAAAGAGACCGTGTATTTTACGGAAAACTATAAGATATTAACGCCGCCAAAGCAAAATATGGGATCTTCTTTAATCATTCATAGAAATCCATCAAATAAAATTGAGAACAATTCAGAAGCAAGTAATAAGAGTATAGTTCAAAATTTTGATTTAACAAAAACTTTTGCAGAACTCAATTCTTTTAATGAAACAAAAGGGAAAAAGGTATTGCATAAAAACATTATTGCAGTCCACCTGATCAAAAACTCATTAAATAAAAAGTTAAACGAGAAAAAAACAAACTTTGAATACTCAAAGACATTTTTACCGTCCAATAAACCAAATTCTGTAAATGTTGTGCACTTACAAAAGGCAAAAATAACGTCGAACAGTAAAAACGTTTATAATCCAATAACAAGTTTAAAACCAATAACTTCCGTGGAACTTAATTTAAAAGAGACTTCAACGAATCTTTCACAAAACTCTCAGAGAGCAATAAAAGCATCATCGACAAATAACGCAAATAAAGTATTTGAAGAAGAAATCACCAAAAATATTTTAAACAAAACAAAAGTAGAACCGAAAGCTTCTAAATTAAACGAAACAAAAAAAAACTATTTTGAAGATAAAAAAAACAACATCAATGCAAAAAATATGCTTACTAACTCTACAATGAAAGGATACCTTTCAAAAAATAGCAATTTTACAATTAGTAAAATTGGAATTTTCTATAACGACGAGGAAAAAGAAAGCAACTTGTCCTATTCTAAAAGAAAACTTGGCGAAAATTGGAAACTTTTAAATTCAAATAATTTACCTAATTCCTATTTATTACCAAACCAAAAACATGTTTACACAAACCAAACATTGATCAACTCATCAAAAATTGATTTTTCTCATGAAAATGTCTTTCTTAAACCCCACTCATTGCATTTAGCTGATACGACTGAGTTTGTCAAACTTATTTCTGACCAACCCGGTTTCGAAAAATTTACCGATTTAAAAGCGTTAAAAAAAACCGTAAGACTTATTAAAGGTCTTTAACCTGCTTTTTTTCTACAACTTCTTTTACTTATTTACGACAATTTTTTAATTTTATTTTACTCTCACTCCCATGAATCTTTGATTCTTTAATCTTCAAATGTTGATTATTCAATTTGATTTTCACAACATACGTTAAATCATTTTGGGTTAATAAAATCGACCATTACAATGTTAAGCAGGGTGTATTTTTTCTATTTAGAATATAGTTGAATGCACTTCAAGCTCAATGTGTCCGATTAATAAATATTGTTCAAACTTACTATGTTATGATTGTCAAAAAACAACTCACGCGTGCGTAGAAGATGAGCACTGCTGTAAGGGACTATCTTGTATTTACGGAAGGTGCGATAACAAAGAAAAGGGCACTCCAGGTATATTTATTATAAAAATTATTTTAATACTTACTAATAGTCTTTATGATTTAGAAACATTAAATAAGTTTTTTGAAAAATAATGGACCCGTAAAACAGGTCATCTTAGGTCTGTTTCACACCTACCAATTATATGCTTTATAATATATATATATATATATATATATATATATATATATATATATATATATATATATATATATATATATATATATATATATATATATATATATATATATATATATATATATATATATATATATATATATATATATATATATATATATATATATATATATATATATTAGGATTGGTCAAAAAAAAAATTTTTCTTGTTACAGGCTCTAAATATTGCTAATAGTTATTAATATTGATACTATCAAATATGAGAATGATTGTGATAGATTTAAAGGGCGCAACTTTATTGGGAAAACTACCGGTACCCTAATATTTTGGAGAAAAAAAGTTTTTCAAAGAAGCGAAATTTTATAAAAAGTTCGAAAATAATAATCGTTTTATAAAAATCATATTGCTAAAAAAATTGTTATTAAAAAACATGTAAAAATTGTTATTAAAAAACATATATATATATATATATATATATATATATATATATATATATATATACATATATATATATATATATATATATATATATATATATATATATATATATATATATATATATATATACATATGTATGTATGTGTATATATATATATATATATATATATATATATATATATATATATATATACATATATATATATATATATATATATATATATATATATATATATATATATATATATATATACATATGTATGTATGTGTATATATATATATATATATATATATATATATATATATATATATATATATATATATATATATATATATATACATATATATGTATATATATATATGTATGTATGTATGTGTGTACATATATACATACATACATACTATTTATCTAATTAAGACAAAAAGTATTCATCTTGGCTTTGAGTTAACGAATAACACTTTATAACTTTGAATTGACTTTATATCTTTAATTAAACACCAGGGTTCGACGCCTAAAACTAATATCTTTTTTCTGACTCCCATTCCCCTCCCTCCCCCTCTTATTGCTTATGAGTTTTAATATAGAATCTCTTTGGTACCTATTACACAAGGGTGGGGGCGCTTGTAGGACGTTTAATAATAACAATTTGTTATCAACAAGAAAACAATATCTCAAAAGTTAAAGAATATATTTTTAATATATACATCAGTTACTAATAAGAATAAAAACTTTAATAAGGCTTTAAAAACCGTCGACTGTTAAAAAATTTCGGTTTGTCAAAATTAATAAACGTATATTTCTAACCATAATTTCAAACTTATGTGAGCATAATAAATTATTAAAACAGACTTATTTCCCCCATTTATTTAATTACTCACGGGTGTTACGCACCCGTGAGTAATTAAATAACAAATGGTTTCGCAATATTTATTTTTCAAGAAAAAAAATTGTTTCTTTTGTGCAGATATTTCTGCGCACAATAAAAATTGTGTGCAGACTTATGTAATTAAATAGAGACGTTAATATTTCAAATCTCTCCATCATAGATAAAAAAAGGCATTATCCTAACTACTTTCTACGTGTATTTTCATGCTTTAAAACATTTTTTGAAAATTAAAACATTTGTTAATTAGATTTTAGAAATATTTCAGCAGTAGTGATCTGTGACGTTTCACAGATCGCTACTGCTGAGGCCATGGTAGCTTGCTTTTACACCAATCAGCTATATACTTAGTCTATTCATTTCATTAAGCTATACTTAATGATTGAAAATAATGTTTGAAATATTTTCGGATATCAAATGTATCTCGGTTATCAAATGAAAATGCTACTCCTACCTCTTTATTCTACAGGCGAGCTTAATTGTTTTAAAACTAAATGGAAAAAAAGGGAAATTAAAATTTATATATTTAAAACAAAATTAACACATTGTAACTAATCTCTAGGTTAGAATTATATTGTTTTATCTCCACATTTTAGAGTTTCAAGATAAAACGATTTAAAAAACAAAATCTTTAGGAGACGTCATATAAAATAATATTTATTAGTTATGTTTTCTCGACAACTTTTTTGATTATAACTTAGGTTTCAATATAGTAGAAAAACATTGTTTTGAGGTACATAATGCGATCAATAACTCATTTTTTTTTCAAAAAGTGGAGATAGAACAAAATAATTCTAACATCGCGTATTGTCAAGTTCTCTAAAACGCCCAATTACGTCATAAATCTATGGTTAAATACGTCACATAAAAACCTGAATATTAATATAACTATTTTTGGTAACCTGTTGTGGTACAACAACACCAGTTGTTAGCTGTAGCGTCAATAGGGGGTGTGGTCCACACCGCCTGACACCATCAGAGGGGTGACACTAAATTGAATAAAAAGCAAATATGCCAGAACCTTTTTTTTCAGATTTCTTTTTTTTTTTTTTTTTTTTAGAAATTTCTGAATACAAAGGACATTTTGTTAGTTTTTAATCTAGAGGGGTGACACCAAAAGTTTACCGCTCTGGGTGACGCTAACCTCAATGACGCCACTGGTTGTTGATGTTGCTAAATAGCGTATTTCAACATTAAAGAGATCAAAACTTTAAAGAAATCACAGCTTCTGTTACAATTAAAAAAATTCAGTTTCCATTAAAAAAAATTAAAACCAATATTTATTGCCAATAGCGATGATGATTAAATATCTATCAATATAATTATGCGATAGTAAATAAAGTTAATAACTGAGTAATAAACAAATGTAACTATTTTGCTATTATTTCCTAATATTTAAAGCAAAATGTTAGTGAATGATTAGAAGCAGTGATTTACAGAATGAAACTAAGTAATAGTATGTCACTGAAATAAATTTTCAAATATTTTGTAGAAAGCAAGAAAGGCATAAATAAATTTTTTTTGCAAACTTCAATTAACGAAGGTTTTGGGTCCCAAAATTTGATTTATTTTGTAAAAGTTATTGTTTCTCATATAAAATCATTAGCCTGTTTTGATAATATCGCAGCAGTTGACATAAATAGGCTCCGAACTTTAATTTCTGATTCCGAAAAGTTAAAGTGCGGTCGTGGCGCAGTGAGCGCTTGCTTTATAAGCAGGAGATCCAGGTTCGAAACGAGCTTTGGACATATTTCGCGTGACGGTAGGAAGGAGGCGTGAACTTTCTAGTTAAATGCACTTCCGCGGTGCTCTGTAACAAGACCGTGAGGTTTCCTTGGGGCACCTAAATAAAAAAATAAAAAATGTAAGATTATCTATCAATTGTGCTATGTTGCTGATAATGCTGATTAATAATACAAATTTCCTGCAATCACGGCTGTTTCACACGATATAAAACGAGCCTGACACGAGTCACGAGTTTATCAAAAAAAAAACTTCTGCATAAAAAGTATAAAAATTCACAAACTTTAAAATAGTTTTGTCTATAATCGTTTTTTTATCTTTAAATAACAAAAATATAAAAGATCTCTCTCCTTGTTAAATAAATAATTATATTAAACGGAATAAAAATAAATAATCTTAAAACATTGCCAATGATTTGTGATCACTTTTCTGTTTTTTGCGATATTTACAAAAAACCTGGCTCTGGACAACTAAGATAATCTAGAAACTAAGAAAACTTATCAATGAAAGTCTTAATCTAATTTTTGGTGCCCTTTGCTTATATTTTGAAAAAAAATTAGTTTTTAATTCTATATTAAATTTAATCACTATTAAATCAAAATCAAACTTTCTTGCAAAGAACACCAAATTATCAAAATTGCAAATAACACCAAATTATCAAAACTGCAATACTTCATACTTATGAAAATCAAAAAGTTATTTTCTCTATCTCTAGCTATGTCAGATCATATATCTTTAAACTTGGCTGGTTTACAACATTTTTTTTATTTTGCATTAACTTGCATTTTTTCTATTATGCGTAAATTAATGTTTGCATTTTAAAACAATTTTCTTCGATTTCAGTTTTATCTGAAATCGAAGAAAATTTTTAATCATTCATTTAATATCAAATGGTAAAACATTTTATTGGTGTTTTTTAAAAAAAAAAACAAGAAGCCGTATAGCTCACTTTGAAACAGCCGTGCAATTGATGGAACATGAAAAGTGTTGTAAATTTGTAAATAATTGAATCAAGAAGGTCAAAAAATATTTTTTTAGCAAAAATTACCAATACAGACAAAAAAAGTGATTCAAAATAGCCAACTCAATAACCATGATCTGCAGAGAAAAAGACTCAAATGAGATATTTAGTACGCATTTCTTTTACGCAAAATCTAAATTGGCTTTATAGGTCGATCAATACTTAGATAGCAAAACCAATGATATATTGATAAATAACTAGATGTCTAACTTCGATCCGAAAAGTGAAGCCACTTTTTACAAATGGCGGATTAAATTTGTAAAGAAATATTTTTAACTTTTCTTTTCTTAAATGTAGTAAATATATTTTAAATTTAAATACTATTTTACAAGTATTATAATTTTTGCTCAATATATTTACGTAAATATATTGAGCAAAAATTATAATACTTGTAAAATAATAATTAATGATTCTTTAATTTATTTTCGATTAAAAAGTGATTAACGTTTTGAATAGAAAAGTAAAACAACAAACGCTTTTGAAGCATTTTTATAAATTAAAATGCTTTTTAATAAACATAGGCTCATAAAAAAAACTTTTATAAGTATTTTATAATTATGAGAATTTGTTTTTGAATTATCTTCAATTTATTGGAAACTTTTGACTTGCATTTTTAACTTTTATTCCACACTTCGGCTTCAGCTTTTGCCCTTTTTACAAATGGCGGACTTTTGTTATAAAAAAAAAAAGCGGCTTCACTTTTTGTCCAATAAAATCCCGCAAGTTAGACATCTAATTGGTCTAGTTAGTCAATAATATATCATAGGCAGGGTCCTATCGAACCAATTTTGCGCTTCGGTCAAGAAATGGAAAGTTACGCCCTTCCGCATCCTAAATCTGTCGTGTAAATCTGAGATAAGTTTTTGGCTTTTGGCTTCATCCACTGAACTTTTAGATAGTGAACGCCCACAAAATAAGAGGATACAGCAGACATAGACTCAAACCGCCATTCAATTTATGTGATAATGCTATCAAACATAAGATTGCACTGTGATCCAAATACTGTTTCTGCTGTGAGGAGGTGAAAGTCGTCTTCAATTTCATTAAGTGCCATCGTCTTTACTTTGCGCTTCCTCTTGACTGGAAAATCATCTTCAGTTCCATTCTGTTTGGCTATTTCTGTGGCATCTTTGATAATTTTGTCCACACCAACATCTCTCAAATTCTGAATGGAAGCCTTCAATGCTTAAATTTTTTTTGCTGCGATGTCAATTGAAACATTTTTATAGTGAAGCAATTTGTTTTCCCGGTCAATTAATGAAAGAATTTGACACCAAAAATCCAATAAACAAAAAACTGAAATCAATTTAAATAATAAGATCTTTTGCACTACATATTGTGACATCATTTGTCATGGGAGTGTGGATAATAGATTTCAAAACTTGAAGAACTTATTTTATTTGTTTGTGCAATGGTGTGATTGGTTCTTTTTTTGCAGACCATCTTGTGTCACTGTTGTTCTTTAATGAGATGGTCAATGTTTTCATTAATGCTTCCCATCTTAATTCAACTTGAAAAAAAGTTAAAGATGGCTTGAACTTTTCCAAAAAATGTAATCATGAGTGGGGAAACCTTAGCAGCATAGACACCAACAAAGTTTAAAGTGTGAGTTGCACAAGGAACAAATCTTGCTGATTCACAAAGAGAATGGACATGAGCTTAAACGCCATTGTATTTTCCAGACATATTGGCTCCATTGTCATAACCTTGGCCCGCGGCAATCAGAAATCTTTAGAATGTCTTTCTCTAATTTTTCAGTAATCTCTGTTGCAAGACTTTTTCCGGTTTTTTAGTGACATTCAGTGAAGTCAACAAAGGTTTCCTCAATTGTACAGGTTTCATCATTGATGTGTACCTAATTATTTGGATCATTTGCTCTTTATGGGAGGAATCTGGAGTGCAGTCAAACAAAAAAGAGTAGTATTTAGCTTATTTGATGTTTGACAATATTTCATTTCTGACTTTCTGCCCAAGTAACTCAATCAACTCATTTTGTATTTGAAGAGAAAAAGAGGACGTTGTAGTTTACTTTGCTTTAACAGATGCAATGTGTTCACTAAAAATGTGCTCAGCCACTAAAGGATAATAATTGCTTATTAGCTCAATCAAATTCAGAAAAATGCCACTGTTTTGTTGACCAATGACGTCTCTTGTATCCCGAAGGAAAAGATTGTTCCTGGCGCATAACAAAATTATATCAACAATAGCTTTCATGATGTCTCTCCACTTTTCCATTTTTCCATTGATAACTCTGCAGAGCAAAACCCATGGGCTTTTTTTCAAGAGTTTCATAATCAGAATAGCATCTTTGGTGATAAAGCTTTTTTTCATGTCCAGGAACTCTTGGGTTTAGTTTTCTCCAGTCACAAAATCCTTTTGAAATTTATTGAGAAACTGTTGGTTTTTGCTGTTGAAAATGACAAACAGCAAAAACAAAACAATGAATCTTTTTTATTGCTGTACAGCAACCAATGGCGAACAAATTTTTCACCATTGGGATGAATTTTTTTATATTATTTTGTGCTCAAGTGTCGCTTTCTGTTGTTAAAGTCACACAGTGTGTATGGGAAGAATCGTCTTCTATCTTGCTTTGACCCAAGTTGAATCAAAAAGCATCTTATGTTGCCCGTTAGTTTAGATGATGTTGCTGGATCCCTGTATTGAAAGTTTTTTCTTAAGGATTATCTGATATTTTATATTATCTGTTAGCGGAGTATCTGATATTTCTGAATGAAATTCATTGTGATCCATTTAAGCCCGGTCAGAAAACTGGGAATTGCTATACTCTCTTGTTGTTGCTGAAATATTTATGCAAAATTCTTCTTGACTTTCGCTAATGAAAATCTCCTTTTCAATTAATTCCAAATTATGATCTGAACTTAAGTCATTAATTTGAACTGTTTGAAAAACTTTTTCTGTTGAACTTTAATTAACTTCAATACTATTATCCTTTGGAATAATTTGTTTTGCCGCTGGAGAGTTAGTTACCAACCAATTCTTGAAACAATTTTGTAGATTCTCATCACTTTCAAAGCGCTGTTTTCTTTTCTTCTTAAGTTGAGCGCGAGATAATTTTTTGGTGCAATTCATTGTAGAAACTTAATGTTCACTATAGTTAATAGACATCTATGTTTTAACTAAGTTTTGAAAACCAATAATGCGTCCTCCCAAGTTTGGCGCCGCGGCCCGGCTGGCCCCGCCTTTGGTACGGGCCTGATCATAGGGTAATCTAGTTAGTCAATAATATATCATAGGGCAAAACAGTAGGAAAAAATACAAGTATTCTAGAATGATGACTTGTAGTTAATTTCCAGCTTCAAAATTTTTTTAAGTTTGTACGATAGTCATTGTGTGTACCAGCAGTTTCACAAAGAATTTTCTTAACTCCCTGAAATTTTGTTACTGTCAGAAGATCTACGTTTGCTATTGACATTGAAATTTCCTAAGAAAACATTGTAAAAAATGAAAGTTACACATTGGCTATATTTTTGAAAATATGCCATATAATAGATATGTTGAATAAATAATCTCTGAGAAGACCAAACCAAGTTTGAATCAAACAAGTAAAAATAAGTTAAACTCGCACAAAATAAAATCTTTTTTGGGAGGATGGAAACTTTATATACTCATAACTTTCGAACACTAAAAATTTTTTATTTTACATTTATTCATGTCTTCATAATTTGTATCTTAAACATCGAAAAAACACCCCCACGCCACTGGTTTTACACTTGATGTATACAGGTGCTTCATGCAATTCATATGTAAAACGGGATGAATAAACAATATTCGTTTGAAAGTAAGCAAAAATGTAATAAAATTTCTTAAAATTAAATAAAAATATAATTATAAACAAATAAATATAAATAAATAAAAATATATAGGTTCAATATGCGAAAAAGACACTGATTGTAACGGTGACTCTTGCTGTGTGATTGAACCAACTATTTACGAGAACCACGGAACATGCAAAAGAAAACTTGAAGAATTTCATCAATGTGCACCAGTACTGTTTAGAAAAGTTTGGATTGAGGAAGAAAAACCAAAATGCGGACCTTGCAAAGATGGACTAAAATGTATCGAGAAAGGGTAAGCAACACTTTTATAATAATATTTAAAACAAATTGGCAATTAACTTTGTCAAAAAACAATTTATTTAAATAAATTTTTTATTATGTGTTATAACAAATTTGTCAGAATTAAAATTTAAATTTTGATTCTGACTGATTTGTTATACATAAAAATACAGAAAATATTTATGTTTAAACTTTATCTTTTCTGTAACGCTAATGAAAAAATTCCAAGATCCTTAACTATGTACTAGTGAAAGTTTAATTTTCTGTTGTAAAAAGTTTAAACCGAGGGTCAAACATTTAATTTTTTTAGATTTTTAAAACACGAAAATTCCAATATTTGTATATATTGATAACAATTATTTGTACTTTTTAGCTGCAAATGTTACTGATAGGCCAATAGTGAATACTGAAGCTTGCATTTCTAATGAAAGTATTAATGTTAAAACTGCTCAATCCAGTTTACCATCAACATCATCTATTGTTTTAGCGGAAATCCCTATTGTGAGTTTACCATCAAAATCATTTATTGTTTTACCTGAGATAATACGACCTCATCCTAAAAAAATGTTCCTTTTATACCATTTATTTATTGCCTTAGAGGATGTAATAAAAAAGCTCACAGAGTAAATTTATTATAATATATAAACCTTCGTAAACAAACTAAATAAAATTTAGTAAACATTTTTAAAATCATAAAAATGTTTTATACCATATTAATAGGAAAATTATTTTTATAATTTCGTTTTATTTTATAACTTCTTTTGCTTTTTATTATATAATCTTTGCTTTTTGTTATAAAGTTTTTCTTTTTATTATATAGTTATTTTTTAACTTTATGTATTAACTTTAACTAATATGTAGTAACTCTGATATATAGTTGGGTTGTTGTATTTAAAACCTCAAAATATACCAAAGCTTAAGAGCAACTTTCTGTTAGAATCAGGTAAAAAAACAAATTTTTAATAGTTACATCTTCTGAAACTGATATCAATTTTATATGTTATTACGATTCATGCTCGAAGCTTTATTCCAAAATTATTTTCAAAAAATATTTATTGGTTCTCTAGATATCGAACTTTGAAATTTGATAAATATTTTAGATACTATGAAAAAATATTTTTAGACTTGAAAATAGAGCAAGCTATATACTTTCTAATGTATGTAACTTGTTCTATTTCATATGTATATGTATATATATATATATATATATATATATATATATATATATATATATATATATATATATATATATATATATATATATATATATATATATATATATATATATATATATATATATATATGTATATATATATATATATATATATATATATATATATATATATGTATATATATATATATATATATATATATATATATATATATATATATATATATATATATATATATATATATATATATATGCATATTTGTATGTATATATGTATACATATATATTGGCTTGTCTCAATGGCATGCTTTAAGAGTACGCAAAAATTTGATTTTTTTCATTTTTGATCTTCTTTTTCACTTAAAGTATCCTTCAAAATTTTTCATATTACAAATCTTCTAGCATACTATCCAAAAATACAAATATAATTATTAGAAATTAAGGGGTTACTCTCAAAATCTAAATTAAAAAAAAAGAATTCTAGTCTATTAACGCAAGTTTCGGTACCTCATAATTGCATAATAATAAGTCCAATATCTCGGTAAACCTGGGTTAACAGCAAAATACTGGCAATATAAAGATGATTAATCTTTACCATAGTTTCATTAGAAGCATTTGCACTAGGGATTTGGAATTTATTTATTTTTATTTTTAACAAACTATTTTTTGCATTCAATAACTCTAATTATGTCCATTATTAGGGTTATTGAATGCAATCACACCTACCACTCTTACCTATTACTTTTTTTGGGCGTGAAAAATCCGGGGAACTAATTACGCAGCTGGAATACGGATGAATCCTATAAAAGCTTCTCCTTCGATTTACTTACAAGAAAATTAATAATGGATCCTCAAAGACGGATAATGCTAGACTGATAACTGACGGATAACTGATGTTGTTGACAGTCCGGATGATGACAATTTAGATAACTACAGAAAGGAAACTAAATTTTATATATATATATATATATATATATATATATATATATATATATATATATATATATATATATATATATATATATATATATATGTATATAAAGAGAGAGAGAGAGAAAGAGAGAGAGCTGAATTAACGAATAGACTAATACCAAATAAAACGAAAAATTAAGTTATCAATTGATAGATACTGTATATACGTATAATTATATATATACAAACAAAGGAAAAATCCTTGCCAAGGAAGCTGTTTAATGATTGATTTTCTTTCTATAACAAAGTAATCAGGAATTTTGGGGTCTTTGAAGGAGACTTCTTGGGTTTGAAGCATCAAAATCTCGTCTAAAGTATTTAATATTCCTATTGTTATCTTTTTCCATGTTTACAACTTGGCCAACAAAATGATATGGCGTTTTTTTTTCTTCAAACTTTACAACAACATAAGAACCCTCAGCTAATAAATATTCAGGTTCCAACCAACTAAACAAAACTTTTTTTTTTAACGATAAACTTTGTCAGATTATTTAAGAAAAAAATAAATATATCTTATTAATACTTTTATAATTATTCTGAAAGTAAATTTAATCCCAATTTTAAATAGTAAAAAAAAAAACTAAATTAACTTTATTTGCTAAGGTTTAACGACTCTCTAAGGAATGTTAAAGTCTTAACGCAAGTCAAATGTCAAGTCTACCGTCAAAAAAGAAAACAAAGCCAAGACTTATAGTTACATGCTTACGTCTCTCACCTATACCGTGCAAATTGACGAAGAGAATTATTATAGATAAGATTATAAAACATTGTGCACAATCTAATATCAAAGTCGCAAAATAGATTTGTTCATCACAAACAGATTTTTACATTACAAAATGGATTTGTACATCACAAAGGCTGCCTTTCAACTGATTGAATTCCGTATATTTTAATGGAAGTAATTTACCATGGATACCTAGTTAAACAATTTTCTATTGACTTTAGCAAAGTATTTAACACATTGTCACTCAACGAATTCTAAAATTAACTTGATCAGAGGATGGCTAGCTAATAGAAATCCGAGTGGATTAGGGTGACAAGTGGCGTCCCTCAAGGATCAGTTTTTACACTTCAAGAAGCGCAAAGTAATGCAAATTGATTGTCGAAAAAGCTAATTAATAATGAAATGGCTAATAATGAAATGGCTAATTAAATGCTTGGTTGTCTCAAGAAGATATTTTAATTTTGGAGCTTTTTAGTTATGGAAAACACATCCATACAACGTAAAAAAGAAAGTACATCTTTTCATTTTTACGCTTTCTCATCAAACTCAGCATATAATTAAAAAAAATGACTTGTTTTTTAAAAACTGTATTGCTAATCGTAATTCAGTATTTAAAAGTAATTTTATAATACTGGTTTAACTGCAGTAGTCTCAATCATAAGCATATGAAAGGGTGATGTTGCTTTCTTTTATCAATATTAAACTTTATGTATAAGTGTAATTATTGTAATAAATGATTATAAATTTAAAAAAATTTTCGTTTGTAGCTGCAGTTTCGCTAGATAGACTATTTTACTTTATAAGCTTACGGATATCAAACATTCAGCTCAGATTGCAGCTTTAAACTAATTGCAAAACGAGAACGGAAAATTACTGCTGCTCTAAAGCCGTAGCTTCAACCAGATTATTGATCCATGATGAGCAGATGACTTATCTTGGCAAAATTTTTTGCAAAGCGATTGATGATAGCGAAATTGCAACGAACCAGGTTATACAGTTTTTCTCCGAAACATGGATATAAAGTACCATTAAGAGAAATAAGAATGCAATCATTAACTTGTATAATTATATATGTTTTTATAGGGGTGACTAATTACTGCTAGGGGCGACTAACTGCTCCGGCCGTCGTAAAAGCTCTATGCTTTAAACTTTGCCTTGATTTGTAGTATTTTTCATGACAACAACAAACAATGGGATCTCCAGAGGCTTTTTTTTTTTATTAAAGGTAATACCAATGCTTTAGCAGGATTTTCAGCCAAAACGATAATTATCTTCTGCTTCTCACACACAGATCTTCCTAGTTCTTTTTACTTGGACTTGCTGCTAACTTTACTTATTTGATCTTCTGCTTCTCTCACATAGATCTTTCTTGTTCTTTTTACTTGGACCTGCTGTAACGTCTTTTCTCTTAATTGTTATTTCTTATGTGAGCAGGCATGCTCATGTTCTAGTAGTCTCGAAAAGGCTCTTAAATTTTACAGCAATTTAGATTTTATATACATTTAAATATATATATATATATATATATATATATATATATATATATATATATATATATATATATATATATATATATATATATATATATATATATATATATATATAATATATATATATATATATATATATATACATATATATAAATTTCATGCTATTACAATCATCAGATGAAAGGAGTTAACCTGTTGATTGCAACAGCATGAAGCTTAAAGTTGTGAAAATATCGCAGTATTATTTTTTACTGTATTAAAGTTCTGATTCAGTTTATCGAACACTTTCTTGATAGTAAATGCACTTCACAGCATCACTTAGTATATTATGTAAAATTATTTAATTTTACAAAAAAGATACAATAGTATTTTTTTCTTTTTCTTTTAAGTTTTAACGACTTTAACTCCAGTAAAGCAAATTGTGAAGAAGCGACATAAAAGTATTTCATATCCATATATATATATATATATATATATATATATATATATATATATATATATATATATATATATATATATATATATATATATATATATATATATATATATATATATATATATATATATATATATATATGTTTACATAGATTTTTATTGTTATTTTTTCCTATTTATGTTTTAAAATCATTACTAAAAATAAAACGACGCAATTGTACAATGTCTTTAAATAAGAAATCCTGTTACCGCAATAAAGTCAATTTTACAAAAAAGAATGCTAGTTTTGAGTTATGACCAATTACCTCAGTAGGACTAAGATAGTATGAAAATAATTAATAAAAATGTGTATATTTTTAAAATAGTTTTAAATTGAATTAGGGCAAGTTTAGGCTGATTTTTATTTCGTATTTATATATAACAATAAATTTTATATATAATAATTTCGGGGCTTCTTTTTAAGATCTAAATTCAAAATGCAGTTTTTTTTCAAAAAATATTGTTGACACTTTTTTTTTTACCTATATCAATCTTAAGGGGGAAACGCCCTCTAATTTTACCCAAAATTTGTAAAAAATATTTTCACTTATTTATGCATTTAAATGTATGCAGAATTAAAAATTATTTGTTTATATACTAATTTTTATCATTTAGACCTTCAAATTTTGTATTTTCTTAACTCAAAATTTATACCTAATAACTAATGTATATTTTTAAATAGCTGCAGTAAAATGTTTGGTTTGGCTTCTTTACTCATTTAGCTAGCGCAAATAGTCTGGTTCATCAAGTTAAATTACAGTTTTCTGTTATTCTGAAGCTTATGAAGTTGTCAACTTTCTTAATATTTTTTAAAAAATGTGTAAAGCCTGTAGAATAAAATCAAGAACAATAATTAAAAAAAGAGAAGAGATTTCTTAGGGAAGAAATTTAACCGTCTCGACTAAGAAAATATTGAAATAAGGTTGAATGATAACCCTGCTGTAACAATTTTGACTGATTCAAATAATACAACTGTCAATAATATCTCTGTAAATAACGAATCTGAGTTAAATTTACTTTCTACATCTGTATCTGCCAAAAAAAAGTAAAGCCAATTGAATGTTCCAGAGCTTTTACAAGAATGAAAATATCTGGATATAGGATTATAGATTGCTCTATATTATCTGACATATTTAGTGCTTTAGCATGTCCTCAATGTGGTGAATGTTCATCCTTGTCATTGTCACAAAATGCAAGACAAAAAAGGACTTGCCTCAAAGTTAATTATTAAGTGCTATAACTGCAAATATGAAAATGAGTGTTATACTTCAAAACAATGTAACAGAGCATATGATATTAATTGTAGAATAGTATACGTAATGCGTTCACTTGGACAGGGACATTCTGGTATAGAAAAATTTACTACTTTAATGAATATGCCATAACCAATGACACAAAATAATTATGATAAGTTAGCTGTGAAAATAGGTGCTGTCACACAAAAAATTGCTGAAGATACCATGTTTGATGCAGTAGCAGAATTGCGAAAACATGCTGCTAATGATGATGTTTTTGATATTGGTATGTCATGTGATGGTACTTGGCAGAAAAGAGGTTTTTCATCGTTAAACGATGTCTTTTCTGCATTATCAATGGATACTGGAAAAGTTTTAGATGTGGAACCAATGTGCAGGTTCTGCAAAGGTTGCTTTTTGAAGAAAGACCTTTTAAAAACAAACCCTACAGCCTATGCCCAATGGAAAAACTCTCACATTTTTAAAAACAATTACAAAGGATCTGCAAGCGGTATGAAGTCCGCTGGTGCAAAACGTGTATTTTTAAGATCTATAGATAAGTACAAACTGCAATATGTAAATTATTTAGGAGATGGAGACAGTAAAAGTTTCATTAATGTCATAGACATTTATCCTGGCATTCAAGTTAATAAGTTAGAATGCGTGGGACACTATCAAAAACGTGTTGGTTCACGACTACGAAATTTAATGGAGAGAAAAAGGTCTCGGTGGACGTGGTTGTCTTACAGATGCAGTTATTGATTGTCTGCAAAATTTCTTTGGCATTGGTATAAGGCAAAATACTGGAAACTTAGCTGGTAATAATAGTTGGTGCAAGTTCAACTTTGATAAAGCAAATAATACCAACACTTACAAACCAGGTCCAGGTCTTCCAATGAACATAATTTTTAAAATTAGACCCATTTTTGAGGATCTTAGCAAAGATTCAGAACTAAAAAAGTGTTTACATGGGAAAACCCAAAACGCTAATGAATCCTTCAACAGTATGATTTGGGACCAATTACCAAAGACCAGGTATGTCTCATTTGATAATTTGAAATTTGGTGTGTATGATACGGTAGCAAATTTCAATATTGGTATGAAAGCTTCAGTGTTAGTTTTTGAACAATTAAACATGTTACCAGGAGCTTTTATGGTTAAAGGTTCCAATAAAATAAACAATAAACGAATAAAACAATCTAATTATAAAATAAATGAAAAGAATAAGTTAAGACGACAGCTAAATAGAACAAAAAAACTTGAAAAAAATGACAATAATTTGGAAAAAGAAGGTATAACAAGGTGAATAAAGGTGAACCAGGAGGATTTTAAATACTTTTTTTTATTTAAAGAAGTTAATGACTGTTTTTTTTTTTACATGTTTTGGTGTTATTTAATTAAAAAAATGTTAATTTGCTTTTTTTTTATTTATTTAAGACGCCAGCCAACATTGCTCGCCAACCATTCAAGAGCCCTTCATAAAATTTTCAGTGAATGTTTATTAAATGGTGTAGAGTGTTTTAAGTTAAACAGTTTTTTTTTTTTTTTTTTACACCTGCTGTTTATGCTGTTTTAATACTATATTATTGAATATTGAACTTTGACTTCAAAATGCCTGAATTTATATTTGTAAAAAAAATTGTGTTCAACTTAAAACACTCTTCTACTCTATGTAAACACTGTATAAAAATTTTAATTAGGGTTGTTCTGTTCCCTGCCCACAATATTGGCCGGCGTGAAACCTGTTTTTGCTGTTTTTTGGTATTTTTTTTATAGTTTCCATAGCAACAGGTTACCATTTTATTTTTTTAAATACTTTTTTCTTATTTTTTTTATATATACTATTGATTTGACAAATATTTTTTTTGTAAAAATTGATTTAAAAATTAGAGGGGTTTTCCCCTTGAAGGTGGTACATAACCAGAAATTTTGAAAAAAATCAAAAAATTTATTATTATCGTTATTGATGTAAAATTTTATGAGGAACACAGTTTTAAAACAATTTTTTGAAAAAAAATAACATAAATAGTGTTTTAGGCAGCTTTTTTAAACACTAATAAATTTTTCGGACATAGCAACGTCCTTAGCAACCATCTTCTTACCTATTTTACCTTGATATTATGGAAAACTATATTACCAGCTTATGACAATGAAAAAGCCCTTTAGCTGCTTGTTAAGTAAAAGTTATTAATCATACTTTCAAAGCACAAATTCGTTTGCTATAAGTATTAAAATTAATGCTTTGTTTATATGTGATTTGTAATAGAATATCACCTCACCTTAGAATATCACCGCACCAGTAGAAATAATGAAAACGAGGATGCGTTTTGAAGTAATAGAACTTAGTAGAGTATCGAGTACGTCCGAATAATACCAGAACGTTGAAAAAATTTTGTATTTTAACAAACAATATCTAGTATGTTGGTTTTTTAACAAAATACATGGGTGATGTGATATTCTAAACATATAATAGTGTATTATTAAGTTTTGTGAAAGTTACATCATCTGATGTAAATTGGTATTTGTTCAGCAATAATTGAATTTAATGATGGTAAATCTTTAAGCCCAATAATGCAAATGCTTGGACTGCCAGTTTCACAGTTTATGCATAATGCATTTAAAAAAAGTGATGTAGAACGCATAAGAAATGTTCATAGAATGTCATCAATCAAAAGCGTAAAAGCAAGAAGAAAATTAAGAGCCATTAGAAAAGGATTTCTAGATAAAGAAAAAGAAAATGCTTATTTAGCAGGCTTATATTAAGTAAACCATAATATTTTTTTTATCAGTTTATCTTTATTCTTGCAATTTTCTCAGTATTTAATTTTTACCCATTTTCTTAACTTTAAAACGTGATATTTCAAGATCAGGATAAGTTTTTAGGTTGAAATTTTAGCTGTATATACTTAAGCTTTAATGGCAGGAGTTGAACTAAAACTATTATTTTATACACAAAACTTGTCATCTTATAGCGCTTTTTATAAATCCTAACTATACAAAATATAATCAACAAGTAAAAAATGTCAACATCTTCTGACCTACTTTGTTTTATGACTTAGTTTTGGTTAAACTCCTGTATTACAATACAATAAAGAACTGATGAAATTTTCAAGTCTTTAACTATATAGGTTTTTTAAATATTTTGTTTACAATATTTCATCAAAATATCAATTTTTCAGTAATAATCGAGGCAAAAATACTTGATTAACTACACTTTTAATTTAATTATTTCTAAATAGTTTATTTTAAATGAAAAAATAATATAAAAAATTGTTGTGCATTGTCTTATTTCCAATTTTATTTTTTATGGTTACGTACCACCTTAAACAAGTGACACAAACGCAATCATTTTTGTTAGTTTGATGTCGCTATTTTTTTGAGAGGAGTTGGGGCATTTTAACACATTGTGCGACGGTGCAAATTTGTAGAGACTACAGATCAACACACTAAAATCAAATTTTTATTATTTTACAGCATAATTGGAAGCCACTTAGTTTGCATGAAAGAGAAAATCACAAGCAATTGAGTTATTACGAAGCTAATAAAAATTGAAGATAATACGAATACACCGCAGAACATTGTAAAAAAGAAAAACACTTCGTTTTTTAAACTTTGTTAGATATTTTCATCATCAGTAATACAGAAATAATGATGAAGCCAATATTTCTTTAGCAGCCGCATGGAAGTCGATCTACGCAAACGTTTTCATAATCCTTTGCACAGATGACGAATCAAGTTCAAGAGACTTTTATAAGTAAAATTTCAATGAACTAAAAAATATTTTTAAAACATTTCTATTTTGAAGAAAGAAAAAATGTTCGGAAATAATCACTATAAATAGTTTATCAAAAATATATATATATGTAAATTGATTTGTGAATACAATTATTTAGATGGATAGCGCTCAACAAGCATAGCGTGACCCTAGAATAAAAAAAATATCAAATTCATAATAAAATATAAAAACAAATTACATTATTGTTATAAATAGGTTGGAAACGCAAGAAAAAAAATTTATATTTACTTAAGAACTATAATAGTTACAAGAAAATTGTTTTACTCACAAGACCACCAGCAGCACAAGCGGTTAATAACCCATATCGCTTTTGTTCGTGAATAAGGCGATTCGCGGTTGTTGTTAATAATCTAACCCCAGTAGCACCAAATGGATGTCCAAGTGATAAACTACCTCCCCATGTGTTAATTTTTTCTATAGGTATTTCACCAACCTAAAGAATTATTTAAAAAGCACATTTGCTAATTAATAATCCGAATATTAAATTTTACTTTTTTTTAGAAAAACAATTTAACCTTTTCACTGCGACCCATGTAATCTCTTGCAAAGGTTTCAGAGTTCATTGCTTTCAAGTTTGCAAGAACTTGACCCTGAAATAAAAAAAAATATGTAAAAATTTTGTTATATTATATTTTAAGTTTTATAATTAGTATTAGAAATATTTAAGGTATGAAATATTTTGATTCTTTTTTTCTTTCACCTATACAACCTGAGACATATTTTTATTGAAATATTCGAACATTCGAACAAAAGAAAAGAAATTTAAACAATTAATGAAGTGAATTTTTATTTTAAATAAAGTAAATTTTTTTTTAACTTTTAATCTTGTTTTGATACAAAAATCTGAAGAAAAAAACATCATTTAAATTGGAAAAGTCATTTTTAAAACATGGTAATCAATGAAGTGTAAAATTAAAATAATTACAATTTTTCATAACTTTAATTTTGAAAGCAAATTTGCCTTAAGCGCTAAAAATATCCCACCCTATAAAATATCTTTAATCTAAATAACAATTTCAATATATTTTATTAAAGCAAATTATACTGTTTAGTATACTTTCTACAAATAATAAACTATTTTTATTTTTATTAGATGTTGAAAATAATGAACTTACAGCAAATGCTTCATGTATTTCAAACACATCAATATCTTTTAAACTCAACCCACATTTTTGCAAAAGTTTTCCTGTAGCATATGTGGGGCTAAAAAGTCAAATAGAGTTTTTGCTTACATATTTTTCAAAAAATTACTCAAGTTACTTGTTACAAGTTACAAATGTACAATAATAAAACTAACCCTAAAAGGAGTTGGTCTTTTGGATCTTGAGAGGCATAAACAAAATCCCTAAACAAGATTTGTAAAAATATCTGGTTTGCTAAAATCCGAATCTGATTTCAACAAACCGGACCGTATATCCGGTTTTGCTCACCCCTAGTAAATATTACCAATTTTTAAATTTGATTTTAGAGAAAGGATACCTCAAATATGCTTTTGGTTTATATCCAGCTGCCAGTGCCTTTTCCTCTGTCATAATGAGACATGCAGAAGCTCCATCTGTCTATATCAATACAAAATTTAAAACAGAAACTAAAGTTTCTGTTTTAAACAATCACAACATAAACTCACTAACAAAACAAAATTTTCTAACCAAAAAGGAGGCATTTGCAGCTGTAACAGTACCATGTGGCTTTATAAATGCTGGTTTTAGTTTAGCCATTATCTCAAGGCTAGAAACTTTTATACCATTATCTTTTGACACATAGTCACCACCTATAAATATGCAATAACAAAAACACTAAAAGATTAAATAGACTATTGGTTGTAGCTTAAACAAAGGAAAAAAATTTGACAAAATTATTAGAAAAAAATATAAACACCTGGAACTTTAAAAGTCAACACATCACTTAAATATCCAGCCTTAATAAAATAATAAAAATTGATATATGTCAAATTAACAATTTATTCAAGGCACATAACAGCATGTGTTCAAACATACCTCTTGTGCTTGAAATGCATTTGTGTGAGATCTCAATGCAAACTCATCCTTAAAAAAAAAAATTAATGACATTTTTAAAACTGTGCTTTTTTTATGAATTGATAGCAATAATGATGAAGACCACACACCTGCTCCAACCTTGATATGTTAAATGCAGCTGCTAGTCTAAGAAAAATTTTTTTTGGAAGATACAATTATAACATAAATTATCAAGTTCATTATAAATTAGACATCTGCTAGACTAATTTCTTTATTTTATTTATCATTATTTTACTTTTAAATTAATTTTTGCCTTTATTTTATACTCCTTTATTTAGGGAGTACTGTTGCTATACCTAAGATTTTTTCTCTAAAAAAGATGCAAAACAAATCGTAAATATTGTTAAATATTGAGCTGTTGCATTTTTTACTTAAACTATTCTTGGTACACGTTTAAATAACACTTAACAAAAAAAATTATAATTAATAGCTGAGTTTGAATATTTATTTTGCTTCATTTTCAACTTTCGTATTTTTTTAGCTCCTCAATATTCAACTATATTTAAATTTTTCCAATTTTTGATTTGCAATTTTGTACTAAAAAATATTTATATACAAAAAAAATCAATATTAAAAATAAATAACAAATAAACATATTATAAAATTCTAAAACAAAAATATATCCAAAAAAAAATGTTTTTATTTTAAACAACCTGTCTCCACTTTTCCCCATTGTTTCACCTGTAGAAAACTCAGAAATTGATGGAAGCTAGAAAAACAAATTTCAAAAGATTTAAAAAAACAATATATGATAGAAAATAAGTAATAAATAGAGAATGATATACCTCAGGAGATAAATGTTTAGGTCGAATGGAAGCAATTATACTTAAACGCTGACCAAATGACTTTGCCTATATTATAAATATTTGCCTATATTATATAACAATGTGCATTAAGGTTCTTCATTCACATTTCTTCATTCACATTTCACAGAGTTTAAAGTTTCAAAAAAAACTAGAGTAGAAAGTTTTAAAAAAAACTGTTTAGAAAGGAAAAACAACTTTACTAAATATATAGAATAGATTTCTTCTATACCCTGTTTAAATTCAGCAATTTTTTTCTTAGTTCTCTGTTCAATCGAATAGGAACATCAGACATGAACTCAACACCACCAGCAATAATTGTGTTGCAGACACCAGATCTGATTAATCCAACTCCTAAAGTCAAATAAAAAATTTAATGCATAAAGAAAAGAACAAAACCATCAGCAAGCTTACACAACAAATGTTACCTGATGTAATAGCTTGATTGCTAGATATACATGCCATAGTAACACTATGAGCTGGTACACTAGCGGGGAAACCAGCAGATAACATAGACTGAAAATATATATTTTTTAAATTAGTGTTTTATTTTTAGAAAATAGAAAAATGGAAAAATGTAAAAGTGCACCTCACGCGCAATATTTGCTGTTTTTACTTCTTGAATAACACTTCCCATGATTAAATAGTCAACTTGATCTGTTCAAAAAATTTAATCATCATCACAACAAACTTTGTGAAAAAAGGATATAGTATGTTTTTTTTTTTAAAAAAATGTCAACTTTTTTAAGAAAAATAATGTTGTTTCCAGAAAGAAAAAAAAAAAAGATCAATTTAAATATGACAGATTGCTAGCTAAATTAATAAAGCTAAAATATATAAAATGAAATAAGATTTTTTTATATATGAGTTGTCTATAATCAGTTAATATGTAAATGATAACTGCATACAATCAAAAATAATTAAAAATTGACAAAAATATGAGAACTTTGAACATTAAAAAAAAATGTTAACAATAATATTACCAATTTCAGTATAAAAAAGAAATTTTAATACCTGGGGAAATTCCAGTTTTTTTGACTAAGCCTCTAGCAATATAAAAAGATCAATTAATATTGGTAAAGAACACTTTTCAATTTTCTATGCAAAAAATAAAAAATTTATTTATAAAAAAACTTTTAATAAAGCTTTTTTTTCTCCTCTCTAAATAAATCACAAGTTCATGATCAGTAATAGCAAACAAATAAACTACAAAAAATCTTCAAAAACATTGTTTTTCTTTATTTCATTATTGAAACTTTGCAAACAAACAAGTTAATTTTCTGGTAGTCGGTAAAATGGGAACTGTGAACCGCAAACTTGTAAAATGCAAACTTTTTTGCAAAACAAGACATTATATTTTAATGACCACTAAGGTTATGATATTTAAAAAAACTTTTGATCATCAATTTTTTAATTTAAATTAAATTTAGTGTAATTTGATATATTTTATTTAAATTAGATTGTATTTCTTTTAAATTAAATATAATTTGTGTTTCTGCTTGAAGTCCATAAAATGTATAGTAAAATAAACAATTTAACTGTAAACAGAAAATAAAAAATAATACATCATTAACAACCAATAGAACTTGGTTGTTAATGATATAATATTTATAAATGGTTCCAAAAAAGTTCGCATTTTACCAACTACCTAATTTTCTTCATTTCATTATTAAAACTTTACAAAACAAGTTAATTTTTTTCATTATTGAAACTTTACAAAACAAGTTAATTTTTTTCATTATTGAAACTTTACAAAACAAGTTAATTTTTTTCATTATTGAAACTTTACAAAACAAGTTAATTTTTTTCATTATTGAAACTTTACAAAACAAGTTAATTTTCTTAAAAATTTTATAACAGTTAAAAAAAACTTATTACTTTTATAATTATATTTAATTTTAAGTCTTCAAAAAAGGTAACCCTTCTTTACCTTCTAACTACAGACCTATTTCTATTACTTGTATCATTTGCAAAGTTATGGAGTCTATTGTTGACAAAAGCCTAAAAAGTTATCTTCTGCTAAATAATATTATCTCTATCCATCAGTTTGGCTTCCTAAAAAGCAGATCCACATGTACACAAATGTTAGCTTCTCCAAATGAATGAACCATGGCTGTTAACAAGTATAAGGTAGTTGATATTATCTATATTGATTTCGAAAAGGCTTTCGACTCATATCAAAAATTATCGCAGATATCAAATTATATCAAGAGAGAGATAAAGCATATGTATTAATGCAGACCTTGTAAATTTCTTAAAAAACTTTTCCAACTAACTGGCAACTAAAAATAGCGTTCAATAAATGTTTCTACATACACTTTGGGAAGTGCTCTTTACCTGTTACCTCGTATTTATTTTGTCTCGACACTACGATAAATACAGTTAACTGTATTGATGATATTGGTATTACTGTATCATCTGATACAAAATTCTCCAAGCATTGTTCTCATATTGCCAAATAAGCCTACTCTCGTCTTTACCTACTTTTCAAAACTTTTATCAGTAATAATCCTCATCTCTTAGTAAAAGCCTACAAAGTCTGTGTGTGACCTATTTTAGAGTCTTGTACCCAAATCTCTTTACCTTTTCAAGCTCTCACTACAATACTAGATGTCACGCTAAAAAACTTATATCACACAATATATGTACAAATGATTGATGTGAATTCTTCTTCAGTGAAAGAACTGTAAATTTATAGAATTCCTTGCCAGCTCACATTGTTGCTTCTCTTTATTTATCAATGTTAAATAATTATGATTTTCAACGCAATAACGTATTTTTATATTAGTGGTGTTATGTAAGCGTAATCTTGTGATTACCTGTCTCACCTTTTTGTATTTAACTTTGATGCAAATAAATATTATTATTATTATTATTATTATTTTTATTATTATAATAAAAACAAAACATTTTTACTTAATTTTTCTTAATTTTTATATTAACTTTTTAAATAACTCATAATAATAATTAAAATAAATAGATTTTGAAAACTTACAATAAAGCCTCCCTTCCTAAATCATGTGGCATCAGATTCTTATAGCTAAAATTTAAACTTTATCATGAATATGGTATAATATTAACAAATCAATTTTTGGTATATATATTTATATAAATATATATATATATATATATATATATATATATATATATATATATATATATATATATATATATATATATATATATAACATATAAATATGTATATATATATATATATATAAAATATATATATATATATATATATATATATATATATATATATATATATATATATATATATATATGCATGTATGTATGTATGTATGTATGTATGTATGTATGTATGTATGTATGTATGTATTTAGCTTAGGCTGGGGCCCCAATCACTTCCTTGTGTGTGTGAGTGTCTGTTTTATATATATATATATATATATATATATATATATATATATATATATATATATATATATATATATATATATATATATATATATATATATATATATATATATATATATATATATATATATATATATATATACAACCCTCGGAATTAGGAAAAATGAGGTTAGCAATAAATTACTGGCCTCAAACTGTTAGTGGTGGGCAAAAAAATTTGACACAAAGAGGTTATCATAAAACATAGAAACAAGGTCAGTGATTTTTTACCGACCTCAAACACTTTTAATGCCAAATGCTGACCCTAACTCCTAGGGTTATATATATTTATATATATATATATATATATAATATATATATATATATATATATATATATATATATATATATATATATATATATATATATATATTTATATATATATATATATATATATATATATATATATATATATATATATATATATATATATATATATATATATATATATATTTATATATAAATATATATAACCCTAGGAATTAGGGTCAGCATTTGGCATTAAAAGTGTTTGAGGTCGGTAAAAAATCACTGACCTTGTTTCTGTTTTATGATAACCTCTTTGTGTCAAATTTTTTTGCCCACCACTAACAGTTTGAGGTCAGTAATTTATTGCTAACCTCATTTTTCCTAATTCCGAGGGTTGTATATATATATATATATATATATATATACATATATATATATATATATATATATATATATATATATATATATATATATATATATATATATATATATATATATATATATATATATATATATATACTTATGTATATATATATATATATATATATATATATATATATATATATATATATATATATATATATATATATATATATATATATATATATATATAAAACAGACACTCACACACACAAGGAAGTGATTGGGGCCCCAGCCTAAGCTATATACATACATACATACATACATACATACATACATACATACATACATACATACATACATACATACATACATACATACATACATATATATATATATATATATATATATATATATATATATATATACATATATATATATATATATATATATATATATATATATATATATATATATACATACATATAAATATCAGGGGCTATTCTAGACCATTTTTGAAAGTGTCTACCGTATTTGGGCGCCACAAAATTAAATTTGAAGACCTTTTTTACGGCAATTATTGTTATTTTGCGAAAAAACCGCCGATATTCTGCTAAAGTTTGCAAGAACAAGGGAGTATCGCAAGCCAAATTTTTTTTCTAGAATAGGCCCTGTACATACATACATACATAAATATGTGTGTGCATGTGTGTATATATATATATATATATATATATATATATATATATATATATATATATATATATATATATATATATATATATATATATATATATATATATATATATATATATATATATACATTCTAAATTACATACTGTCAAAATTGGGTAAGAACTATCAAGCTCAGAAGACACAGAACATAACAAGAAAGTAACGGGATAAAAAAAAAGATATTTTTAAAGGTGGAATTCCTTCGAATATTGTTTGGTATAGTAACATGGGGTATGCTGATAGAAATACAATACAAACAAAAAGAGACAACAAGAAATAGAGAAAAAGTTTGGATGTATTTTTTTTGGATCAATTTAATACTATTTTTCAATGTCTTTTTAAAAATCTTTTAAAAGATTATTCTTTCAAGTTACTTTAAATTATGAATAAGTTAAATTTAATACTCCCATTGAAATGCAGTGATTTAATATTATATATATATATATATATATATATATATATATATATATATATATATATATATATATATATATATATATATATATATATATATATATATATATCAGGCTTGGTCGGGAAGCGGGAGCGATCGCTCTCGATTGCTGACCACATAAATAATATTTAGTTGCGAAAAGCTGGCCAGATTGCTAGTCGTTTTGAGAACATTTTAAAAAGCAAAAAAAAAAAAAGCGACAAAGATTAATTGGACCGATGAGAGACAATTACAAAAAAAATAAAAATGAGCGATGTTTTTCATATAAAGTAACAACTTACGATTGTTTAAAAGGGAAATAAATATTCTTTATTTAACAAAGTTTGCAAGTTTTAGTTTTATCTAAGCTAAATTATTTTATAAATAAAAAAGTTAATTTTTTTAATACCTATTTTATGTTTCGCGTAGTTTGAAAAGTTTAACATATTTGAAGCGATTCTATTTAGTAAGATAAACAAATGAAATAATTAAATCATTGAATTACTATAGGAGTTAAATAATCAAGATAGAAATCAACTAAAAAGGTTAAAAATACTTAATGACGAGGAAGCGACTCTGCTTCACAATATCGCTGATGATGTTTAGTGAGTGGGCTTTTTAATTTTAATTAGTATTTAAAACAGAAAAAAGTATAACGAGTTTTAAGAATGGCAACTTAAGCGAAAATAATTAGAGTAAGTAAACCAATATCTAGAAACTTTTCTTTATATCTATTTATTTGCTATATATATTTGTGCTCTGTCGTGACCTCAGGCGCGATGCTTGTTCATCCGCGAGTTACTTTGTATGCGTTGTTTGTGTTTAGTAACCAAAAACTACTTATATGTTTGTTACATAACTAGTTTTATTAACTTTAACGATTATAACTTCATTGAAAACGCAATTATTTTTGTAAGTCTTTGTTTAAATCATAAAAATTGCTTTAAAAGATACATTACGATAAAAAACAAATACACAAAATTACATTTACATAAAGAATACAATCTCTTTTAAAATAAGAATATACTATAAAATCTATGATTTATAATAAACTTTTAAAATTTAACTGTTTAATCAATATATATTTAAAACATTTATTTTCGTAAACAAATAATATATATTCTTAAAACAATGCTAGAAATCTCAAAACGTAACAAATCGTGTATAATACAATTTCTGAAACATTTTAACAAAATACTCTAGAACTTTACTTCGCTTAATCAGCGTATTTTTTGAACCAATAGAATTAGTTTGTTCGGGTTTTTAGTGTTCGCAAATATTCTTTTTATTCTTTCGCACAAAGATGTTTTAAGAACATTCAAGTTTTTTATGTTTCCATGTATGTCCGTAAAACAAAACTTTTTGTTTCGTACATAAACTTAAATGTTCTCAAAACGACTAAAAAACCTGGCCAGTTTTACGCAACTAAATATAATTTCCGTGGTCAGTATTCTTGAGCGATCGCTCCCGCTTCCCGACCAAGCCTGATATATATATATATATATATATATATATATATATATATATATATATATATATATATATATATATATATACACATGGTAGCCACAAAAGTTAAATTGCAGGACATTTCAAGGACATTCAGGACTTTTTTTTGCATTTTCCAGGACATTTAATATCCTATTGATTGAATATTATAAATTATATTTTTGTTATATTTTTTTCATATCGATTGAATATTATGTTAATATTAGAGTTTAAAATAATTTGGCTATATATATATATATATATATATATATATATATATATATATATATATATATATATATATATATATATATATATATATATATATATATATATATATATATATATATATATATATATATATATATATATATATATATATACTGCCCTCGGAATTAAGGTCACTTTAACTGTAGTAAGTGACCTGGCTGAAAATAAGACTTTTTGCAAACCTGGCCCAACCCCAACAAGATTATAAGATTTAGCAGGGGTTGATAGCTGAGGTAAGAAAACAATTTATAATACTTAATACATTATAATTTTATACTTATATTTAATATTTATTAAATACTTGCATACATTTATATATTTTTAAGCTCTAATTTACTTCCAACAAGATTTCAAGCAACCACTATTAAGTAATGAGCTAATTTAAAATAGAGAATCAGTTAAAATACTAGAAAATATATAAATAAAGACATAAAAAGTTGTAAGTTGTATAAAAAAATAAAACATGAAGTTGGGTAAGAGTTATAAGGTTTTTTGATGTTCAAGGAAAAAAACTGGATTAACAATCATTCTGTAAAAAGATTTTATAGCATGAAGGGACAATTAAAGAAAAAGGATGCAACTTGTTGAATAAATAGCCAAGAGATAATAAGTTTTGGTTTATTGTTATAGAGATAATAGCTTGTTTGAGCACTAACCATGATTGTATTTATAGAATGGGAGAGTGGCTTAAGCTAGGCAGATAAAGCAGGTCTATTAGATTTATAATGTGCTTTTAGACTTTGTCTGAGAGCTAGAGGGTTATTATTTGTCAATATAGGCATGCCAACAATATTACAATATATTTTTGCAGTAATTAAATGAGTTTTGTTGTCTAACAAAAGTTGTGGACTTCAAATCCCAAATTTAAATCCATAAGCCACTGCAAGCTTTAGGCTGTTACAGAATAGAGATCAGATTTAAAATTGGCTGCTTGTTCTAAGCAATTAAAAAGTGAAGATTTTTTGTCAAGACAAGAGTATAAAGTTGAGTCATCAGCAAATAGAGCCACTTTAGATTTCATTAAGATTGTTATTGTAGATAAGAAATAATACAGGAGCAAATATAGAACCTTGTGGTAACCTTAAAGTTACTTGAAATAAATAGGGTAGGCCTTCAATAATAACTTTACTGCTGCAGTTAGAAAGAAATAATTTAATAACCTTAAAAACTTTACATTGAAACTTATAAGAAACTAATAACAGAGTGAAGAGTAATCGTAGGACTTTTTTAAGACTATGATGGAAATCTTGTCTGAAGCACAAACTGTAGAAGTGTTTAATTAAGAATTAATTTTAGTATTGGAAACCAGAGTAATTTCAAACTAGAGTAAGATCTCTTTGTAAATAGCTCTGCTTTATTCTGGGCAAAAGTAAAAAGATCAGTCCCATGAATTAGAGATTAAACATTAGACTTACTTCAGTTAATGACACTGTTAAAAACTAACCAAAAGTCTCTGAACTTAACATCTGAGATAAGATACAAGATTTTGTAAACTGAGAATAACAGCGATTTACATCAGACAGGACATTATTTATACATTAGCTTATTGAATAATAAAAAGAACATTTGTTCATAATAAAAGATTCTATAATGCACTTTTTGTACACATATGGATATAAACATACCTGTTTACTATTTGTTTAGATGCTGGCATACAATATCCTTTCATTGTTATATAAATTTTAGTATTTATATGGTATAGTATTTGCCAAAAGAGAAAATGATCAGATGGATGTGTGGTATGACTCTAGCAAGACAAGAAAAGGAGGCATAATCTTAGACAAATTAGAAAAAAAGTTGTATCAAACAACTTTTGTTGAAAAAGTTAAAATAATTTAGGTATTTAGGTCAACATGTAGAGTGGTAGCAGCTTCAGTAGAAAATGGTTGAAGTAAGAAAATTTGAGGAGAGTGCCTTAAATATTGTATAAATGAGCTTTAGCTAAAAATAAAAATGCTCTAGATTGTTTATATCAAAGAAACAGCTTAAAAGAGGATGATAATGATGATGATCATTATCATAATTGTCATCATCATCGTCAAGTTTTCCACTTTTATGCTGTTGATGATGATGATGATGATCATGATGATAATGATGATCATGACAATCATGATGATCATGATGATGATAATGATGATTATGATGATCATGCTGATCATAATGATGTTTATATATGCATATATATATACAAAATATAACATGAATTTTAAATAAAAAAAATACGTTAGGATGTATAAATATTTATGCAGCTCCAGTCACAAACCTGGCCCCGGCTAGGTTTTATTAAACCCGGCCCTGGCCCCGGTCAAATATCAACCCTGGTTGTTTACTACTCAACTGCTGACATGTTTGAGGTCGTCAAAAAGTTGCCAACCTCGTTTCTATGTTTTATGGTAAGGGCTGTATATATAGATATATGAGGATTGTATATATAAATACAATATATACACACACATATATATATTTCTATATTTTTAATATACATCTATATTAAAAATATAGAAAACCTTTTGATTAAATAATAAATCATAGATAATTCTGTCTTGTTATTTAAAACAAAATTCAAACCATTTATATAAATTTTTTTTTTGCACAAAAAATTTAATTTTACTGCAATATTACTAGTAATTTTTTAACTTGATTCAAAAAAATAAAAATTCCAGGACATTTCAGGACATTTTTGAAAAAAATTAAATTGTCCAGGACATTTCAGGACACTTATAAAAATCCAGGACATTCGAGGACTGCGGCCACCATATATATATATATATATATATATATATATATATATATATATATATATATATATATATATATATATATATATATATATATATATATATATATATATATATATATATATATATATATATATATATATATACATATATATATATGTTTCTATTTTTTCAAAGAATTGTTGAAATATTTTTTTTTAACTTGACTTAATGTCAGAGCATGAAATGATTATAAATGAAAAAACTATTTTTGCAAATTTTTGGAAAAAATGCTTATACAATTTAAAAACGTAACAAAAAGTAATTTTCACTTCAAGTTTGTGTTTCATTTTAGTGCTTTTACATTTTCCTTTTCGTAAGGAAATGTTTTCTTTTTTTTTTTTTTTTTTTAATTTTCTTTTGAGTTTAAATTTAGCTTAGCATTTCTTTTTTCAGCGCATTTCTAAAATTATTTCTAAAACATTTAAACAGCCTTGGTTAAGTTTTCAAAATAAAATAATTTGCATGGTCAGCAATAGCATTTGATTGCATGCTATTCCTGCAAAACAATTTTAAAAATTTTAATCTAAAAACTGTCAAATTTAAAAATAAATTCCTTATTAAATTCAAAACTAAATTCCTACTTAAATTTGAAACTTTTTATAATAAATTTATGAAACAATTTTCAATTACAACTTTAGTATAATTTATATTTCATTAGACAGTTTTAAATCATTTATCAACATTGGATAATAGCATTTGTTATTTTAGAGCAAGGATCATTTATCTTTTCAGAAAATAATAAAAAATGACAAGCAGAAAGAAAAAAAAAACATTTATTGATGTTTTACAATTGGATATGTTGTCTGTCAAAGTTAAACCAATTGTCAAAATATAAACTGAAGCCCTTGCAGATGACTATTTTCAGTAACAAACATTAATACTTAAATCTTCCAAACTCAAGTTAAATAATTTTGAAATTTTCTAAAAATACCTTGTGAAAGCCATGAGGAATGGAGTGCGAACTCCATCAACTAACACTATATTTTGACTAGCTAAGTAAAAAGAAAAACAAAGTTTATTAGAAAAATAACAAATTTTAAACATTAATTATTTGTAAATTATTTCAACTATAATAGAAATTAACAATAATTATATATAATTAAAACAATTACCAAACATTTGGTACAAATGATTTATGTTTAATAAATACAGAATACTATATAAATTTAATGTAAAATAATTTTGTTGCATATAAATATCCTAGTCATATATATATTTATAAATACCTGGATTTTTTGAAAAAGATGGATTTGATGATGAATATCCTCTAGCATTATGAGCTAAATAAGTTTAACATGAAATAAGATTAATGAAACAACAAAGAACAATAATAATCCTTGTTGCACTATCTAAATAATTTAAACAGAACAGCAATTTAATCAAAATGAGGACGAATAACAAAAAATAAACAAACGAAAAGAACAAAATTCTGGTCAAAAGACAGTAAGCAAACTTAAAAATTTTAATAAAACATTATCAAAGAAACCCAAAAACAAAAATGTGATTTCTTTGAATTTGAATTTTTTGATTTTAAGAAGATCAAATTGATACCATAGAATGGTCAGGAATGAATCAATACAATCAAACTTTAAATAAATGTTATTTATCTAACTTAGTAATAATCATTTTAATAATAAAGTATATGATTAAACAAAAAAAATGTATGCTTATATTAAATTTTAAAACACATTAACTTAGATGATAGAAAGGTCTAACGGAAACAGTTATTTTTAAAAATTGCATTTTTTTTTATGGCACAACTTACAAGAAAAAACTAAAATAAAAATTGATGTAGAATTAAAACTAATTTTTCCTTTTAAAAAGTGACAAAAGTCAAATAAAATAGATACTACATTTTTTTGTTTTTAATTTTATATTTTATTACTTCTCAAATAATGGATAAAAGATTAAGAATAAATAAATTAACAACAAGAAATATAAAAACTTGTTTCAAATAAATTGTTCTTAAATTAAGCTATAATAAGCTAGAAATGATATAAAAAACGTAAAAATAAAATGTTTATTAATTTGTAAGATTTTTTTTACCTGCAATTCTACAACTTAAGGATTTTAAAGAGTTCATTGCCATTTTGCCGTCGCCACACAAATATTGAGTGTTTTGCTATATTTACAATTGACCTTTGTACATACGTTTTCCCATGAATTAAGGCGCAGTATACGAAAATAAAATGATTTAATTCCGCCTCCGTGTATCAAACCTTTGTCAATAGAATATAACTAATCTATTCTATTGGCATGATCAAACGTCTATTAAATTGTTTACTAAATTATTCTCAAAATTGTTCAGTAAAATTTTTACTTGGTTAGTTTACAAAAAATTTAACTTTTTACTACATTTAGAACTTTATCAGGAAATTATTTTATTATAAATGATGCAAGATTTTTTATTATTTAACTTTCAATAGGTCAGATATGTGTTAGAAAACAAATACTACTGCCTCTTTTACTCACCAGTCTAATTTCAAGACATATATTAAGTCTTTAATAGCTGTCACTTTGCTAAAAAAAGAAAAAAAAATCATACCATCGGTCTAAAAAATCATATCATTGATGTCAAAGAATAGCTATCATTCAGATTTAAAAAAAAAATTATAAGATTTAAAAAAAAATTTATTCAAAATTTGTTGTTGTAAGATTCTTAAAATGATATTACATAAATATCATGAGTTGAAATATATTTATTTTGTGTACATTCATTATTTACATGTCCCTCATTTGCAGTTTTGCATAATTGAAAATGTTTTTCTCTATGCAAATATTTTTTTAAGTTTTATAGGTTATGTACTAGTCTAAACGATATTAGCAAAGTTAATGTAGCAATCAATTGTGTGATATTTGTAAAGTTGATAAAGCAATGTATTAAAGTACATAAGTTTGCTAAAGTATTTTAGTTTGAGACTTTTGGGCGTTTTACATCATTTCAATTGTTTTGATTATTTTTAATTCAATATATTTTATAAGGTAGTCAAAATAGGTTTTTGTCAATAACAACTCTTAAGAACTTTATAGATTCTTGTTTTTTTATTTTTTCATCTTTTACTATCAGATCAGTTAATTAAAGAAGTAAATTTTCTTCGTGCTTTTTTAATAAAATAATGAGTTTTATTTACATTTGTTTGATTTGAAACGGTTGTTTATATATTATACTATTGTAATTTTGTAAAGCAATAATATATAAGGATTCTCTATATAAAATTATATATTAGAAATATATACTTTTAATAATTGTTAATGATAATTGTTATTTTTTCTAGAAACAATCGATGATGATGAAGATTGTAAAGATAAGTTTCCACAAATCAATTTTTCTTCTGAAACTGGCAAAGGCAAGGAAAAAATTATCACGCGAGCATGCGTAGTTTGCTTAGGAAAATTTAAAACTTAAGCGAGGCATGCTTACGTGATTATTTACCTTTTTCCTTTTCCACTGTAAAAAATAGACTGGTGGAAACTCATTTAAATTCATCATCAAAAATAAAATTAAATTAAATAAATTAAAAGAAAAATACGATTAAAAAAAAAATTTATAAACTTTATAATCATCGAAAACCATTAAACCTGAGATGCAAAAAACCATTACTAAAATTCCAATCATTTATTATATACAGAAGATTGAAATAAATTGTTTTTTAGTTGGAACGCTACATGAAATGAGTAGATTTACTCTGCGATTCACTTCTAATTACAGACAATTAAAAAAAAAACCCTAATTCAGTATTAATTTGTGTAACAGAGATTAGTTTGTGTAACCGGATAATTTTTTCCGATAACACAAACAGTTCCTTAAATATAATTGTACCTATAAAGGTAAAGAAGTTAAATGGCTAAGCACAAATTTGCAAAAACACTCGAACTAAGGAACATTAAAAAAGAAGAACTCGAAAAAGAAACAACAAAACAAAATGAGCTCGCAAATTTTTACCAACGTATGTCACGTATAAGATTTTGGTGTCAAAGCGGAATGAATTTTATATGTTTAATAATATTTTTAGTTTTGGAAAAAACTAGTTAGTCCAGGGGCAAATTTATGCCTTTTGTTACAGCTTGCAAAAGTAGAAAAAGAAACAAAATTTTAGATTTTGTTTTTTTCTACAAAATGTTGATGTCAAAAACAAGGTGTCTTCAAAGATACTGAATGAACTCTAAATGTTCCCGACAATGTTCCAATAGCCGTCTCAAACAAAAAGCCGTTTCAAACAAAAAGCAACATGATGTTATCTACACAAAGTATTTGAAAGATTTAAACAATCGTATAAATAATTTGGAGATTAACTTTAAAACTTGAAAAGTGCCTATTTGGAATATAAAATGTTTTGAGCGTTTTATTTTAGACTATAGTACAATTACTTATTTTATACAAAACCTTTATAAAGATACATTAAGGAACTAGGATTCTCATTTGGATTACTTAAACTAAAAAACGCTATAACATCAGACTTGTGCGTTAGATACTTCTTTCGTCAGATACTATTGTTATATACATATCTGCAGTTATTGTACAAAACGTGCTCGTTAAACAAAATTTTAAACTCATATTCTTGATTCAAAAGGGTTATTGCTTGCACAACTACGCTATTCAAAACTGGAAAAAGAGTAGCTTTTAATATACGTCTGCAAATACAAGAAAACATATTTGTTCAGACAACCTTTTAAAATTTATAGCTAATACAAAGCTATTATAAAGACTTTGAGCAATCAATTTGCACTGAGAGTATGACTTAATAACAACAAGGGTAATCATTTGATCTACACTATATCCAATGAAAATATAATACATTTGACCATCCCAATCGGCGCTTTGTACCGAATGGTAACAAAGAGCTGAGGATGTATACCAATATACAAAATACAAACGTTCTAATGCCTCACTATTAGATACCCATAGAGAAACCAACCAATCCTAAAAAGCTAGAGATCCGTAGTTCAAGGCAAGATTTATATTTCATCGGCGGTGAAATATAAATCTTGCCCAGAGGTGGCGTTGAACCACCGATTTATAGCTTTTTAGGCAAGTGCGCGAACCACTGCGCGAACCACTGCGCGACGGCTGCTCAAAAATGAAAAAACTTCAAAAATAATTAGTGCGTTATTGAAATATTTCCCAAATATTTACAGTGAACTGAACTGTATACATTATCCAAAAAATCAAATTGAATTGTGATTTCACATACTCTTAAAACTGTGGGTATTCAATTAAAAATATAATAGTATATCAAACTATAGAAAAAGCCAATACTTAAATAGAAAGTTTACTTTCTGTTTAAGTATTAACTTTTTCTATAGTTTGATATACTAATATTAGTTTTAAGTTTAATTTTACATTTTTATAAATATATTATTGTTAAATATATTTTAAAAAATTTTAAAATTTTTATATTTATATTTATTTTATTATATTTAATTTAGTTATTAATATTTTATTTTTACTTTTATTTAAATTTATTTTATGTTGTTTCTGTTTTTTACTTTTATTTAAATTTATTTTATGTTGTTTCTGTTTTTTACTTTTATTTAAATTTATTTTATGTTTTTTCTGTTTTTTACTTTTATTTAAATTTATTTTATGTTGTTTCTGTTTTTTACTTTTATTTAAATTCATTTTATGTTGTTTCTGTTTTTTACTTTTATTTAAATTTATTTTATGTTGTTTCTGTTTTTTACTTTTATTTAAATTTATTTTATGTTGTTTCTGTTTTGCTTTTTTATAATAAAGTTATAATATTAGATATAATTTTTATACAATTTCTATTTAATTTAAAATTAGTTATACATTCTGATTTTTGGGTAATAATATAATATTACTTATTATTCTATCGTTTTGTTATTACAAATATTATTTTATATTAATTTGTTCATTAATATTGCTTAATTTACGGCAAATATTATTACTATTATTACTATTATAATTGTTGCTATTATAATTACTATTTATAATATTGTATCGTTGTTATTTTCTTTTCTTTTCTTTTAGAACTTAACAACTTCGAGTTTTCTTCCTCATTATTTTTACTATGACCTTTAATTTTAGAGGAGTATGCACTGCATGTACAAAAAAGTTAGTGAAAGTTGCTGTGCAACTCAATGTGATGTATGTTTCTTATGGAATCATTCAAAAAGTAGCTGGCTTATGATCATAAGTACAATTTAACACATTCAAAACGCACAACATGGCTGTGTGTAAATTGTACCAATAGTGACTTTTTGTGTGTAAATTGTACCAATAGTGACCAGTGACTGATGTATCTGATAATGAATTTAAACTACTCTTCTCTTCAAATAAAATTATTATAACTGATGACTTGCCTTTATCAATTAAACTTTTTCCAGAATCAGGATTGAATAAAATCTATACTTTAATTAATTTATTACATCAAATGCTTCAGTCTCTGATGAGAAAAACTGTTCTTCTTTTGATGTAGATGGTCAATATTATGTCATTAATAAATTTGTTCTTATAACTTTGGGATAACAAACTCTATGTCCTTTTTCCATTTAAACATATCCTCTTTACAAAAGTACTTTGAAGATCTGAACAAATTGTTATCATTAATAAGTTTTGAATTTAGAATTATTTGAATTACAGAAACAAGATTAAAAAAAGAACCTCCTTTTACACATCCAATTATTATTCAAAATTATAATTTTAAGCACACACCAACCTAATCTTCTTGTGGTGGAACCTTGTTATATTTATCAAAAAAATTGATTTATAAAAGATAAGATGATTTGATCATATGCACACCAAACTATTTAGAATCTACTTTTGTTAAAATAATTTTTCCCAAAAAATTAAATATTATTGTTGGTTGCATATATAGACACCCCAGCATGAATCAAAAAACAATTTCAATAATAAAATGTCTGTCCTTCTCCAAAAAATAGCTTCTGAAAATAAATCTGTCTTTCTACTTGGCGACTTTAATATAGATCTGATACAGTCAAACTCTGAATTTGCAACTTCTGAGTAAAAAATATTAAGGATAAAAGATCCAACAATTATAATTAAGCTAAAAAATTTAAACGCTATAAATATACCATTATATTAATCTAATAAAACTGAGTAAAAAATTACATTTCAAAAAATTGTTTTCAGAATATATAAAAAATCTTCGTGAGACCTAGAAAGGCCTAAAAAGTCTAATAAATGTCAAAAATGTCAATAATGTACCTCCAAATTGCTTTCAAAATAACAAAACATACATAACTGAACCAACTCTAA